TTTAATTACATTTTTCTACTCTTATCGGTGCTGGATTAGTCTATAGGCCAACCTAGGCCATGGCGCCGCGAAGCCAATAGGCGCCCAGGCAGAAGGCTCTTTTTTTAAGTAGGTTAAATATTAAAATTAATTAATTAAAATTAAATTATTACTTACAAATGTTAAAAATTAACTGGCTAGCCAGTGGTTGTACTTTTTTATTTTAAAATCCTTCATTATCCATCAAAGAATAAAAAAAATTATTCATATTTCCGATTTTTTTTATTAAATAAAATAGGGTACTCTGTAAAAATGAATTAGTCAAAAATGACTTATTTAATATTATCTTATATTCTTATGAATATTACCAGTGATGGGTCAAGAAAGTTTCTTAAAGAAACTAAGAAAATTGAATGTTTACTTATTTAATAGTTATTAGTGGCTGCTTTTTTACTTGTACCATGGTTAACCATGGGATCCCATAATTTAACAGCCAATTCTTATGTAAAGTTGTCCTCTGAATCCGAAAATGTCAAAATTTAAAAAAGTGGAACACTTTTTGAGATATAGTCAATTTTCCATTTAATATGGAATTGGCTTTATCTCAAAAACTGCTCAACTTTCATAATTTTTGACGGTATTTTCGGATTCATGGGACAATTTTACGTAAGAATTGGCTGTTAAATTTTGTGATACCATGGTATATACCATCGATGTGATTTCTGTTCTTACATGTATTAAAGTAACGTAAAAAAAGTCAAAAGGTTTCAAAGAACACCGGGGTCCAAACTCTACGCCAACTTTTAATTGTAACACTTTTATTTGCTTGAATATACGTTTTTTTAATATATAAATTTTAATACATTAATTTAATAAAAAGAAGTATAATAATTTCCATCTATGCATGCATATGAGTGTTCAAGTGGCCCCAAATACTGGGCAAAATTTTTGTTTTGCTCCATTACTTATTCTTTTAGTGCAAAAGCAACCACGTATTTTTATTTGAGCTGGGTGATAGTTGAACTCCAATATGTTTATTTTTTCATACTCCCATCCTTAAAACGCCCATTATTATCGTACATGTTTTCATGACACTCAACAGTGCTGGATTAACCCATAGGCCAACCTAGGCCATGGCCTAGGGCGCCGCGACCCAATAGGCGCCCAGGCAGAAGGCTCAATTTTTTTTAAGTAGGTTGAATTTTAAAATTAATCAATTAAAATAAATAATTATAATTATTATAGAGGCGTTAACAATTTTCCAAGAAGAAATCCCGAAACGAAAATTCAAATAAGCAAATTTTATGAGTTAAGGCCTGCGTTCGTTTTGCCAATCAGTGACACTCCTCACAACGTTTGTGTTTGCAAATATCATTTCTCTACGACTACTTAAGAATAGTAACATTCTAGTGTAATTTTTGATCATAGAAAGGATGTTTTTCTGCAATACTGTGCGAGAATATTCCTACTCTTGTTTAAGAATGGTCACAAGTAACGACATCTCCTGGCTGTTTACTAAACGTAAAAAATTTAAAAATATTTAAATATTACTGTATTATTTATTAATTAAAAAATAATAACAGTTGTATAATTAAGGTTTAGGCACAAAAAATTAGTTATATTTATTGTTTTTCAAATATACAAATCAAAATTATAATAAATTTGATATTGAAATGATAAACCAGTAACCTACTATACCGGTTTTGAAGTTTTGACAGATACAAAAAGTTAAAAAAAAGACCTTTAATAAAATGTAGAAAAAGAATAAATAGATGTTGACATAGATTACTTGTAAAATTAGTTTTGTATTTGTTACAATGTTATTTTTTTATTAGTTAGTGTAAATAACTATTTTTAATTATAATAAAGATTTAGGCATACCATTTGTTTAAATTTATTATAATTTACATTATAAAATTGTGACGGCACAAAATGGTTTGACAATACAAAAAACTTAAATGTCAAAAACTGCTTGGTTTCTTTTCTCTGTTTAAAATTATATAATTATATATTACTATTCTTACGTAGTCGTAGAGAAAATAATGTCTGAAACACGTTTGGAATAGCATATTCCACTCTCGTAAAACCGTCACACTCGCCTTCGGCTCGTGTGTCAAATTTTTCCTCGAGCGGAATATGCTGTATTCCAAACTTGTTACAGAATGTACTATTCTGAGATAACCTGTGACGTCGAAAGAGAAAATTGTATGATGAATGAATGTCCGGAGTGCAAAGAAATTGATATATTATTTTCCTGTTTACACTTGCAATACAACACAGAAGAGCCCATGCAAATCAAACAGTGCACTATCGATGGCAAAACAAAAACCATAATTCTGCTTGAAACAATCAAATCAGCAATTGAAATGTTGGAAAAATTGAAGTTATTTAGTTAAATTAACCAATTACACATTTGTTGCAGTGTATAATAAATAATAATAATAAATGTCCCATCAGTAATGTCCCGTCAGTAACGAGAAATCAAAATGCATTGCCTACACAGATTACAATGAAAGATGAGTGATGTCATAATAAGTTATACTAACTGTATCTGCAACTTGGTTCACCTATACTTTTCTTCAACATTATTCTGTTTCAGAGAATTATTCTCTTCTAGTAACCAGAAATTTTTTTGACCTTTTTCCTGTCCCATCAGTAACAACATTTTATTGATTTCCAGTTCGTAAAATAAAAAACATTTTAATAGCTCTGATACCGAAAATTTTACACAAACTCTAGCTTTAGTAGTTACCCAAATATTACCGGCATTAGCTCAATAGCCAATATTTAAAAAGTTTATATGCACGTATGTATACGTATATGTACGTATGTATTAGTACGGTCAGTATACTGACCGTACTAATTTCGCCGGCAGCACTGACTTATATAAGTAAACAGTAGTAAACAAGATTTAACTGATAAGGCATTAAAAAGTTTGGGTGGAGATTTCACCAAGGAGTGCGCATACTTTTACTGTGAAAAGCTGCTTTTATATCGGATTTAAACGTTTTGTAGTCTATTTTCAAGGGATAAATTTCGATTTACACAGAAAAATTTGACACCGGTAATACTGATTCCCATTCTTACGCGAACGATTACTCTATTTTTATATAGTTGTCGCTCTAAATAATTATTTAATTTAACCTGGCAACGGACAGGTGACCAAAAGTTACGAGATCGGTCAGGTGAGATCTGCGTGTATTTGGGGCCAAATTTAATTTTTAGGTATTTTTTGTTAAAAATTAATATCTGAGGATCATGGCAATTAAAACTATATCGATCATGGCTTAAATGTTTTTTATTAAAAAATATATATTTATAGTTTTCTTCAGATCTGCCTTTTTTGTGTATAGTATATATATATATATATATATATGTGTAGTATAACTTTCATGCTAACAAAGTATTTTTTTACATTTTACTGCCCCAACGCTAGGTCGAATATTATTCTTAAGTCACCAATTTATTTTATGTATAAAAATTTTAATATATACTGCAATAAATGTGACATTAATTTCAATAGTATTGGTTTTATAATTGATAGCTTATGTAAAAAAATTTTAATCTAATCTTGTTATACCTCATTTTGTATATATATTTTTTTAATAATATTAGGACTTATTTTAATTTCTTGTATACATATATGTAATTGTTCTGTAAATGGATTTTATATCTGTTGGATAATATACGATATTATTATTACAAATACAATGAATATGCAAGGAAAAAACAAAAACTTAGACACAAAATGTATTATAAAAGAACTAAAAAGATAATTAAAAATTATACAGTAAAAAAATATTAATTTTTTTTTTCTTCAGCTAGCTCTGCCCAAACTTCTAAGAGACGCTTTTGTTCATTTTTGTAGGTGTTACAAGCCATAATTATATACAAAATACAGAAATAATGGCGCCTAACATTAACGTGGGGTCTATAAGACCCCACCTGTCTGTTGCCGGGTTAAATCATTTTTAGATAATAATAAGTATTTGTCGAAGAAATGCGTTTATAAACTTTTCTGGACTCTCTTTAATTAAAAACTCGCCTAATTTAAATTCGTGACTAAAATGACGTTTATAAAACTTGACACATTATATTATTTTATTATATTATTAATATAATACTATTAAAACGCATCGCATTATTATTAAGTTAATTTACATTTAAAAATTATTCAGATACCTAAATGTAAATTATTAACTTAGTCTTTTTCATTGATTCAAAATAGTTCATAGGCGGAGAAAGCTTATATTATAGCCGAGCATACATTTCACTGCCGAGGCGCCAGCCGACTATAGATTTTGTGCGAGAAAATTAATAAGCTTTAGTCGCCGGGTTTTATATACTATTTTTGAAGCATTTAATTTGAATATTCCTTTAAAGTTTTGTCACATCATTTTTAGGTTAGGTTTAAGTAACATGATGACATTTTATTTTTTTTTATTTTTGTACGGAGTTTTTAATAATTTTCCTTTTAAACTAGTATATAGACATTTTATAAAGACATTTGTGTTGTAATATACAAATTATTGTACTCTTAAAAAAGTGATACTACCTATGTATAATAAAGTAGAAAATTAACTTAAAAAAATAGGAATAATTAGTTGTCAAAATTGATAAATATTAGATAGGTATGTTAGATGTCCAAGGCAATAAAATATTGAAAGAAAATTGCCGTGTATGTATATTGGATAATATTGCCGTGCATTGCATTTGTATAGGTGACAAATCTGTATCGTAATAATTTTTTTATCATAATTGATGTCATTGTAGTACAGGTAGGAAATGTGTAATAAACGAATTAGAAAAAACATAATAATTTTCAAAAATGGCGAATGCACCGGGATAAAAATTAATTATAAAGTTTAAATTAATACCAATTATTAGGACAATAAAATCTTTAAAAGTTCATAAAAATGCAATTAAATGTGCTTAATTTGTAATGATTTACGTCACAAATTAAAACTGAATTCAATGATAATGGGTTTTAAAATTTATATGGATTTTATTTTTTATTTTAGAAAATGGGAGCGTCAGATCCGAAAGTATATGGCACAGCTGAAAAACTACCTCAGTATATTGCAGCTCTTTCAGGTAAGTTAAGTTTGACAGTATGCATAAAGTTTTAAACAAATGGGATTTTTTTTTAATTACTAAAACCTGAAGAGGGTTTCATATAAATTAAGTGAACATTTTGACAAAAATAAAAAGCATCGGCAAAATTGTATAATACTGTCCTGTCAAAAAGTGTTACCTGTACCCAACGTCCAACTTAAAGCTAAATAATATACCTACATAAAAATATTTATTTATTTTTAAACCGTACTTTTATTTTTGACAATATTTTGATATTTTTGTTTATGGTTGCTTTAACACTGATTTTAGACATCATGTCCCAACCCCATTCACAGTATGTAACTTTGTTAAAAATGAAGCAAAATCGGCAATATATTCTTAAATAGCTACTGAACCAATAATTTAAATAGAAAATTGACTATCTCTACTTTTATAATTGTCTGATTACATCCTATAGGAATTTACTTTTTATTATTCCAAATGAAATTTTTTATTTCTATTTTTTACTAATATTACACTATTATCACAGCTAAACGCTCGGACACGTAAACTTATTTTTTGGTCGTAGATTACAACATTTGAGGTTAATTAATCAAAAGAAAGAGAGGAATTTTTTTAGGTAATTTAGGAAATTCAAAATGTTTTTTGGTGTTTTTTATTAGGTATAATTGAGGATATTATATATTATATTGTATTAAACAAAATAAAAAGCATGGAAATATTGGCACAAGAGGTGAAATATATTATTTTACAAATTATAATATATCAGTATACAGTGTGTCCCCGGTTCGGATTGCCAATAGGAAAAACTTTTTTAGACCTGATACAGCTAAACCGAGCACGGATTTAAAATCTACAATCAAAAATTATGTTTACGTGTCCGAGCGTTTAGCTGTGATATTTCAATAGTTGATAATTTACCTACAATATATTACACAGTACACGATTTTCGTCCCATGAAAAATTTTAACAGATTTTAAAAATAATGGTTAAAAAACGTACCCGTGTCTCACCGTTTCACGAAATCAAGTCATTTAATTTTTTTACACAGCCATTCTTATTATTTTAACCTAAACAGATTTTTAATTCTCTATTTTGTTATAAATCATTTTTTTCCTTCAAATATTTAATGTTTTTACATAATACAAAAATTATACTTAAGTAAAAAAAATATTTCTGGTTTTAATTTTTGTTTTTTTTTTAATAAAACAACAGATTTGTGTTTACCTCATATTAAATATATGATGGAAACAAATCTTGATCTTTTAGTTTGACGATTATACATTACTTTCGAATCTATAGTGGTATCACCACCTAAAAACACCACTTGATATACAGGGTGTTTCACATTCGTGGTCCATTGGAAGTTTCTGGGGAACGGAAAAAATATAGATTTGAAATTTAAAAGCGTTTATAATCCATTAAGTCTATTTTTTTTAAATATTTTAAACAAAATGCAACTTCCGGAAGTGATATTTTTACAGTTCTAAATTCTACATAAAATTCTGAGTAAAATTACTATACCATGTCCTATACCTAAAGTGAATAGTTTTCTAGATGTTTGCTATTAGGTTTACGGATATGGGGGTAAAATGTTTGGAATCTTAAAACATTGTTTGAAAAACTCCATGTCAATTCTTTAACATTTTTCAACAAATTACCCGAGAAACCCAGGGCAAATTGGGCTAACTTGAAACGTTAATAACTTTTTTATTTAACACCAGGTATGTTAAGAAATTGACATGGAATCTTTTAAACAATGTTTTAAGATTCCAAAAATTCCACCCCAATTTCTGCAAACCTAATAGCAAGAAAGTTATAGGCTATTTTTGATTGACGCGCATTTGTCATATTTTAACGGAAAAAATTCAGAACTATTTACTCAATGGACCACGAACGTGAAACACCCGTATTTCGTAAATGTGCAACAACCTGTGTATAATTAAAATAATTTTAATATAAATAAATAATCTTAATGGTTGTCCATTTATTCAGTGAATACATTTTTCTTAAAAATATACTGTCTAGCTGTTATCGAATCTGTTATATTATGTGTCGAATACCGTGGATAACATTTTATTGGATCGCACTTAAAAAAAAATGACTTGATCTGAAAAAACGCCGAGACACGGGTATCATTTTTAAGTCTATTTTCAAAATCTATATATAGACATTTTTCATGGGAGGGAAAAAAATCAAATTTTGTCGTACTGTGTTATAATTATATATCTCGATGGTTATTTGACAAAACATCGTAAGCGACAAAACCTAAATTTTACAGGAGAGATTTTTTTGTGTGGGAGCTTTATTTATAAAGTTATGTATCTGAAAACTGGTGAGGCAATATTTTATTAATGTAGAATTCAGATATTTAAGTTAGATCGAATCCAATCTAAAATTTTCATTCAATTTTGTGGCATACGATATTTTATAAAAACATCTTAAAATGTAAAATTAGTCTTGTCGCTTAAGTTACGTTTACGATACTTTGTGGGATATAGATTTGATGATTACTTTTGTAAAAACATCGTTAGCGATATTTTTTTTTTTTACTTTTATTATAAAATAAAAAAAATTACAAAAAAATTAGTTTATGAAATATCACCAACGATATTTTGCCAAACAATGTTTAAAAATGAAAATTTACATTAGCTTTCTTTGAAAAAAAGAACGATTTTTATTCAAAAATCAGTATGTAACCCATGCATGGTACCATGATATAACGTTATAAATTTGAGTCAAATTATTTGACGCTAAAACAACGTACAATTACTACAAAAAACACTTTTAACCCGTAACTGGTGAGGTGGGGTTTCCCAAATCCCACCCATTCTAAGAATCTTTATCACGTATTAAATCATGGTGCGAGGCTCGCTACCCCCTGTAGAGTTTTCATTTGGGGTTTGGTAAACCCCACCTCACCAGTTATGTAACAAAAAAGTGACCTCACCAGTTACGGGTTAACGAACCACACTAGGTAACAACAATTATAATTATTATTAATAATGCAATGAAATAAAGTAATTGTAAGCTTTTGATAAAATAAAATATTATTTTAAAACTTGGTAGCAATCACCAGGATGCAGGTATACTCACGAATAAACTGCTTAGAGCGGGAATAACGCCTTGATAGATCAAGGCGGGAGCAAAATACTATCGTAAGCGACACAATGTCAAATCGCAAACGCCATGTCTCGGAGTTGCTTACGATTATTTGTCGGAAACATATAGGCGCTTACGTTATAAATCGGTAACAAATTAAAAATAAAAGGCGCTTACTAATTATAATTAAAATTTTCAAACTGACCAATATTAGATTCCTAAATTGGGATAACTATTATATTAACATGTGCAGCTTATCGTAACTGACACTTTGATAAAATAAAAAGTAATTCAACAAGATTGTCGCTTACGATGTTTTGTCAAATAATCATCGATATGTATGTATATAATTATAATTAATGGAAAAAATATAATTTATTATATCTAGAATAAGTTCTGAATAAAAACAAAAAAGATAACTTTATTAAGATAATCAAATAATATTTTGTCTTTTTTAGTATGCCTTGGAGCCGTCGCAGCTGGAACTGTCCTAGGTTGGACCTCAAACATAAGCCTTGAAAGTGGTGACCTAAACTCAGTAACACCAAAGACCCCGGACGAAAAAGGATGGATCGGATCGTACACGACGTTGGGCGCCATGATTATGTGCTTTCCAATCGGTTACCTATGCGACCTGATTGGCAGGAAGCTTACAATGCTCTTAACAATCATACCCTTCACCGTGGGATGGCTGCTTATCATTTTCTGCGACAATTTGGGCATGATTTATGCGGGAAGGTTTCTAACCGGAATGGCTGGCGGAGGTTTTTGCGTATCGGCTCCACTGTACACCAGCGAAATTGCACAAGATGATATAAGAGGCGCTTTGGGCTCCTTCTTCCAACTTCTTCTATGCGTTGGCATTCTAATCAGTAATATACTTGGAGCCTATGTTGACATCAAAGTGTTCTCCATCATATGTGCTATGATTCCTTTAATATTTGGTGTTGTCTTCTTCTTTCAACCGGAAACACCTATTTATTCGATGAAGAAAGGTAACGAAGCCGCAGCATTGGCAGCTTTAAAGAAACTCAGAGGTGCAAACTACAAATGCGAATTAGAATTGGAAGATATTAAAAAAGCTTTGGAAGAGGAACGCAACAGTAAAATTTCTTTCGTTGATGGTCTAAAAACGACGGCTGCTAAGAAGTCCTTAATTATCTGCTTCGGTTTGATGTTCTTCCAACAAATGGGAGGGATAAACGCATTTATCTTCTACACAGGCGATATTTTTAAGTCCACAGGGTCTTCCTTGGATCCCAAGGTGGCAACCATAATTATAGGAACCGTTCAATTATTGGCGACCTTCGCTTCATCACTTGTTGTAGACAAATTTGGCAGAAAAATCCTTCTTTTGTTTTCCGATTTTTTCATGTTGGTTTCTGGGTTGGTTTTGGCAATTTTCTTCACCGTCAAAAAGAACATGACCGATCAAGAAATTAAAGATATAGGCTGGATACCTATAACTTCTCTTATCGTCTTCTTTATTGTATTTTCATTGGGCTACGGTCCCATACCTTGGATAGCATCGTCAGAATTGATGCCAACAAATATTAAAGCCGTTGCGTCTTCTGCCGCAGCTACTTTTAATTGGTTCTTGGCGTTTTTGGTGACCAAATTTTTCCTAACTTTATCCGAAAATCTTGGTAACGATGTAACAGTGTATATTTTTGCTTTAATTTCGGCTTTGGGTACCGTTTTTGTTTGGTTCACGGTCGTTGAAACCAAAGGTAAATCCCAAGCACAAATCCAAAGGGAACTTGGAGGTGAAACCTTCAAAAATTCTTCTGGAGTTGAAAACCCCAATTTTAATAACACAATTCACTAAAAGCTTTGTTGGCTCAGTATTTTTTTAAATAAATTAATTATTGATATTATTTGCTGATTCCCTTAAAAAAAATAACTTACAAATACAAATTTTAAACACATATACAGGGTGTCTGTATATGGTGCGCCGTTTTCCGAGCATAACACCCTGTATAATAAAATTTATGTGATTTAAAATTATATCCTTGCCATTATTTAACTTATTAATGTATTTAAATCCTTTACATTTTATTATACAATTTGCTAACAAGAAAATGGATTTATGTCAACAAGTATTAAGACTGTGATTTTAGTTATTTAGATACTGCAAATAGATATTTAAATTATTTTAATTTAATAAAATGTTTGAAAATTTTTTTTTATATTAATTAAGAAAACTATTATTATTTAAGCAAAAATTTAATTTTTTCAGGGTGCTGAAAATTTCTTGGCTTGCCATTGCGTACACTATGAGAGATAGAGGAAAGGTTGAATTAGAGACGATTATGAATCTACAAAAAAAAATTGTGTTCGTTTTTGATTTATTGAGAAAAAAACTAAAAAATGTGTTTTTTTTCGAAAAAATTCATTGCTCTTTTACCATTCTAGATATGTTGATAAAACTTGGTGACTTTGTATTTTTCTTAGCTGTCAATTGTCAGGCCTTCTAGATTTGGAGCAACAATAAAACTTTTCAATTTCCTATGGCCGCCATATTGGTGCTAGAATGCCTAGAATTGACTATTAAATTGACAGCTGTCACAAAGCTAGAATGGTAAAAGATCTGTGAATTTTAATATAAAATCACATTTTTCAGTTTTATCTCAATAAATAAAAAATGACATAAAATATCCAATATTTTTTGCAGATTCTTAACAGATTTGCAGATTCTTAACTATAGTTTCCAAAATAGCAATCGTGAGCCACGAATTGTTCACCACCCCTGTACCTACAGTATTGTATAAGTGATAAAATATACATTCCAAATAAATAATTAAGAAAAGTGTGTGTTTTACTTATACCTACTTATACTTATACTTTCTTTAAATAAACCGCTCGTCATAAAAATCGACGCACCTAGTTTTTTGGAAAATATTTATTCAAATATTGGAAAATTACTGAATCGATTTGTAAAATCTTTGGAAAGTCTGAATAGCTGATTCTTTGACTCTTATGTCTAATTTTGGGAATACAATATTTTGCACATAGCATTATTTTACTGGGTGTTAAACGAAGAGATGTATTTTTTCCGAAATTTCAAGTTATTCTCATTCATGAGGCAGTTGATTTTGATAGTCGTAATACCCCTCCCTAATATAAGTAAGGTAATCCCTCGGAACTTTTTCGAGATTTTGTGAATATCGCGGCTTACTACGATTATATGCCAATTTTTCGAAAATTGTCGTTATTTCCCAGTTTAGTCCAAAAAATGAGCAATAGTGGATTCTTTGACTTACGTCTAATTTTGAGAATGCGATATTATGCACATAGCATTATACTACAGGGTGTTAAATAAAGGGATTTTTTTTCTCTCCATATTTTCAAATCCCCATTCACAGGGCAATTGAGCTTGATAGTCGTAATACCCCTTCCTAATAACAGTTAGGTAATCCCTCTGGACATTTTCGAGATTTTGTGGATATCTTGGCTAACTACGATTATATGGCAATTTTTCGAAAATTCACGTTATTTTTCATTTTAGTTCAAAAAATGAGCAATAGTTGATTCTTTGACTCTTATGTCTAATTTTGTAAATACGATATTGTGCACATAGCATGATACTACAGGGTGTATGATGCTATGTGCAAAATATCGTATTCCCAAAATTAGACATAAGAGTCAAAGAATCAGCTATTTAGAATTTTCAAAATCGATTCAGTAATTTTCCAATAACGATGTTTCAAATATTTTCCAAAAAACTAGGTGCGTTGATTTTTATGACTATCAGTTAGTATAAAACATACAAAAATATAAAACTGTAATTAAATACCTACCTACATTAAATATAATAAATTATATTTAATATTATGGCAATAAAATAAATTCTGCTAATACAGTCGGGCAATTTATATATTTTTTATAATTTTTATAATGTTAGACAAAATAATAATTAAATATCAAATGTACATTTTAATTTGATAAGCATCTAAATATTTTACCCAAAGGATATTTTTAAATTTAACATATTATTCTTTTAGTTGAATTTATATTTGCGTTATTTAAACAGGGTTGGTTAAATCCGTCCAAGTGGAAATAATTGGACGATTTTGTTCAATGATGCCCGTCCGGACAAAATCAATTGTTTTGGACAAAATTAATTAAATACAAAGGAAATTTAAAAAACCTTATTATAATTAAATTAGGGTGTTAAAAACAACTTAAACAACAATAAAATATGAACAACTTAAACACTTTGGTGCTGGACTAGCCATTGTTATCTTATTTAAATTTAACATTAGCAAATAAGTTAACAATATGAGTATGAGTATAAGAGACGTATAACCAGCCCCATTTCCTCTTGACTCTCGAACCCCGTACAGGCCTATGTTTACTTGCGCCGATTTTTGTTCTTCCCCAGCAACTGCACGGCTTCACCCGTGTTTGCTGGGTGCGAATGTCCATTGCGTTTCGTACTGTCCCCTATTTGGGGCTCGAGAGCGAGAGGCGAATAGTTATAATAGCCATTCCCGGGTTCGCCGAGCCTATGCTATACGCTCGGTGGGGTGTGGATGAGGGACGGGAGGGAGTTGGTTTTTGGGGGACAATTACGCCGACTTAAAACTAAGTACGACGCGGAATCCCCCTAGACCAGTCGATTAGTTTTACTCCAAACATTTGGGATTACTATTTGGAGTTGGGGAGTTGTTATTTCGCTGCAGGGGTGTAGTCGAGGTCTTTGTCTTGTTCGTTATTGTCGTTGTCCGTGTCCTGGTCAGATAGCTCCTGCCCTTGGAAAAGTGTGTCAGTTGTTTTTAATAATTTTTGTCCCAAGCACGTTTTGTGGTAGAGTTCCGTCTTTGTTTATCAAATTCCAAGGCATTGCATTTATTCACTAGTCCAACAAATCACAAGCGCGATCATTCTGTCGTCTAATGTTTACAAATCTCGAGTTTGGCTATTAGGCCCTTTTTTTTAATGTGTTAGAATTATGTGATCAATGTTAGTTTACTCTGTCAGTCCAGTGTTTATTTTCGATCTCGATTGGGACCGCTTTACGCACTTGCCGTTGACAGACTTATTGCCCCACGCCGCGCGCCCTTCATAGGTTTTAAAGATATCCCAATAAACACTTTAACGATACCTAACACCATTAGCATTGCCCGTGTAAGAATTTTTAACACTTTTTAATACAATTTTGCAATGATAGTAATTAAAAACAAAACAATTGTTTAAAGAGTAAAATATGTTCTTAACATAATCATATTTTAAAGTTATTTTAACATTTTCAAGTAAAATAAATGTTATGTTTAATGAAATGAATACGGGCAATGTTAATGGAGACAAGTAACGGAAAATGCTTGCCGGGATCTGCACTATTTATATTGCAGATTTGTATCAGGTCATGCATACTCTTAAAGTAAAACTTATCAGATTTTTCCCCTTGCGGATGACCACCTCCCCTCTTCTCCGACCTCCCCCGTCCGTCCAGTGAAAAGCCTCCAATGACAGGTGGCACCCAAGTCACTCATATCTCCAACACTCCACTCCTCAATGGCCGCTACACCACTACACCACTCCAGCTTGCACATGTTTGTTTCACTTTTTTTTTTTAATTATTGTTGGTTTCATCTTTAAACCTTTACGTTTCAAGAGCTCGCCCGCACGCGACCCGTCTACTCGAGCGCTGGAACCGAACGTGATTAGCAAATAAGTTAACAATATAAAATAAAATTCATTCAACTTTTAAACAAAACCCTACCTAATTTAGAGTTTACCTACATATAATAAGTATACTTACTACTAGTAGTATAGCTATAGTAGGTTACCTACTGCATACCTGTTATACTATAATTATCATGGTAGTATACTACTACCTAATAAAATAATTCTTCATAAAAGAAACAACCAAATAGTTCTTCATAAAAAAACATTTTTCATTGTATTTAAGTTGGATAGAAGATTTTATGTAAAAGCCGGATAATTTAGATACCTATAGTAAAAGTATTTTTGTTATCGAATATTGTTTTAATTTGACAAATAACTATAAAAATATTTTGGGTTGTGTTTTTTACTTAGTATTTATACGTAGATTATGGTATATTTTACTATTATATAGGTACCTAACTGAACTGAATCTACTTAACAGAATGTTCCAGGAATATTCCTAAATGAAGTTTCTATAGCAATTACTTTCTCAACATTCTAAGCATATGTTTAGAGTGGATTAATTTTTACCACTAAACTTTGCACTTTCTAAGAACCTGCCTATAGGCCAGTGGGAATATTCTTAGGATTATGCTATATTTCTTTTAAGCATGTTCTTTAGAAGAAATATAGCATGATCCTAAGAATATTCTCACTGGAAGGTTTAAAAAAACATTCTTAGAACATGACTAGAAGAAATATAGCATGATCCTAAGAATATTCTCACTGGAAGGTTTAAAAAACATTCTTAGAACATGACTAGAAGCAATATAGCATGATCCTAAGAATATTCCCACTGGAAGGTTTAAAAAACATTCTTAGAATAAACTGTGCTATCAGGGTAGGTAATAAAAAATAAAATGCAGTGGCACTGCCACAAATGTTAAATAAAAAAACAATAAATCATTAATGATTGTAGATGTAAATTGCATTATTAATAAAAATAATCATGTTCAGTAAGTTATTTAATAAAATAAAAAAAGTGGACAAAAACAGAACCCTGCATTTAAATTTGGTCCATCTTTATTTCATATGAGGTTTGTAATTTTTATAGTTGTAATTTATACTGGAGTTATTGTTAGACTAAAAACTTTTTTTATTTTTTTTTTAAGATTTTGAAACCATATATTTTATTTTAAGACCACAATCATTTTTATTTAACAATTAATTTTATGGGTACGCATAATTTTAATTGTATTAAAAGTGATACAATTAATTTATTTTACGAGTACACTAAATTTTTATTTTACAATTAAAATTATGACTTTAGATAATAATTTATTTTATTAAAAATTATAAACTAGATTTATGTGTACTTACTAAATAAAAATACATTTAACAATTTTTCCTACATGAAAATAATAAAAAAGTGTAACTTGTTTTTTCCTAGGAACAGTGCCCTGCACGGAGCAAATAAAAGTGTAACCAGTGTCAACGTCAATGTACTATTTGAAATTGAGGCGTTTCTCGGAAAAACCTCATTAGTCCAATATCGTCGAAATTTAGATATTAGCACCAACTGTTTCCTAACCTCCATATATACGTATACAAATAAGTGTTTCTCGTAAAAATGTCATAGGTTCCATAATAATTAAATATGAAATTTAGCTTGTTCTTCAAAAACATCACAAGTCCACTCCGTTTTGTCTAAGAAAGTCACATGTGCATAACATGTGACGTTTTTGGACACTAGAAAAGCTTCTTCCTCTTTTACATGACCACAGCAATAGAAAATTTTATGATAACTTGATAAAAGACCAGAAGACCATAGCACCTGACAGTCCTGATAACACGGTCGACAACGATGATAACAGCAGTGGATGCGAAGACTGAGTTTGGCAGTAAATCAGTTTTTATTTATTTTGTTACTCAGAGTTAATATTTAGTTTGTAGTGTTTGTAGTAAGGAGAATTGTTCGTTTTTTTCTTCTAAAAACCTCACAAGATCATGTATTTTTTGTGTTTTTTTCATATTTGTCGAAAAAAAAACATGAGGAATTCTGGACAAAGTATCTTACATTTTTTTACATGTAGTAAATAGGTCAATAAAGTACTTTGGTCAAAAATGGGAATGTCGGAGAGTTTTTTCATTTTCCCAAATATGTTAATTTTGGACTAATGATGTTTTTCCGAGAAACGCGTCAATTATACAATTTCTAATAAAACCTCACGGGCTTTTTTGAGTCAGGAACTATATTGAGCAACATTCTGCACATTAAAGATTATTTCCAATTTATTAAGTTGATTACTGTTCTGCGAATTAATGGTTACTGATTTATTTTGTCCGTGTGCATTTGGGTGTGAAAATTTCATTAAAAACGTCGAAATAAAAATTCTATCCAAATCCCAATTTCAATATTAAGAGGTGTTTTAACGCGTTTTAAAATTTCCCATAGAAATAACACAGACAAATTTTTTTTTGGAAATACTATGGATTTGGAAAATTATATCTAATATAATTTTACAATATTAATATTTTTAGTACAACATTTATACATTCTAAAATAAATTTAGCAAAGAAGAGTTGTTGGTTTCAATTTGGTCATTAAGAACAATATCCGATTTTTTCTTTACTTTATTAATTTTCAAAGACTCCAGAAGATTTAGTTTGGTGCCTTTATTGGCTTCATGTAAGATTCTAAAGTTAGGTATCGTCAAATTTGTGGTTCTCTTATTAGCATATGAAGAGTCCTGTTTAAGGTTTATATAAGATTTCTTGTGTTCTTTAATTCGTGTATTAATGTTTCGTCCAGTTTGGCCTATATATGTTTTCGGACAGTCTCTGCAAGTTAGTTGGTAAACGCCGATTTTGTTGTTTTAATACTAAGGTTGTTGTTAGTTTTAAATGCAACATTACTCTTGATTTTATTAAATAAATTAGAAACATGTCTCATATTAGTACCTACCTAGATATGTACAAATGTTATATGTATTTATGAGGTTCTTGGATATTGAAAAACGTTTGGATAGCAATTTTTTGTTTTTTTCTGAGAGGTGATTTTTGGACTTTCTGTGAAACCTAATTTTTTTTATATTCTTGTTAATTAGGTCATAACTAAAATTTTAAGAGCAAAATAAAAAAAAATTTGACGTTTAATTTTGTTTTAATTGGATGTTTATTAAAAATATGTATGCACACTTTCAATTTTCCAATTAAAACTTGCGATTTTATTTAAATATTATCATAACTTTTTAAATCAAATTAAAGATTAGTTAATTTCCTTAAAAAAGGTCTATACATTTTTTATATCTTTTACTGTTTTGTTGTAATACACGTTTAAAGTTTTAATTTAAGTTTAAATGTATAGTATACATTTATTAAACAATAATTCTAAGGGTGCCACATTTTATTTAGGGCCGATTTATTAATTTTTGATTTATTTGACGAATAATTTCTTTGGATACTAGATATTGCCAAGACATGAAAGTTTTTCGGCCCGATAAACTTTACTAAAGATGAATAATGAATTTCTTCGTAACTTTTACTACAATTTTTCATTTTTGTTTATAAAAAACACTTTAAAAAACTAAACAAAATTATAGAATACGTATACTAAAAATGACAATTCAAACGTCAAATAAATTTTTAATAGATCTAAGTTTCCTGGCAAGGATATATAAATTAAGGAAACATAAATGTATACGTCAAAGGTTAAAGATTAAAAGTTTGAACGTTTATTGCAAAAAAACAGTAAAATATATAAAAAAAATTGTAAAAACCTTTTTTTTAGTTATGCAAATATTAAATATTTAAATTAAATCGCTAGTTTTAATTGGATAATTGAAAGAGTGCATAATATTTGTAATAAACAGCCAATTAAAACAATTCAAACCGTCAAATTTTTTTTATTTTGCTCTTAAAATTTTAGTTATGACCTAATTAACAAGAATATAAAAAAAAATTAGGTTTCACAGAAAGTCCAAAAATCACCTCTCAGAACAGCACCGTGTAGTGTGAAAAGGGGTAAGAAGAACTTTTATGTATAACTATATCTGTGTAGCTGGTTTTGTGAAAAAGAGTGGTGTCTATTTTTTTTTGGATTGTTATATCTAAATAATTAAAAGATTATTTATTAATTTTTATGTTGTGAATTTAATACTAGGGTGTAAGTTATTTATAAAATTCAAGAAAATATTAAGTTGTTGTTTTGTATATGTGAAACAAGTTAGGATATCGTCTAAATATCGGTACCAATATAGGGCATGTTCAATATATAGATGTTTATGTTTATAATTATAAAACACATTAGAAATATGTTTAAAACAAAATTACTTCCAATTTAATAATAAAATATACACAAGTTATAATGGCCTAATCATGGGCAATCTTTTAAGCCCTGATATTTTATTCAACATCTTCCAAAATGGTATTTTTCAGAAAAAAAATACTAATACCGTGTCTTGAACACTTACGGAAAATTAAGTTTTTCAATAGGGGCGGCATATCAATGAGTCATGACAAGTCGTCATAATTAAAATTTTAAACATGTTTGATAAACTTGATGAAAAATAAATTTTGAGTTAAATAATTAAAATAAATTGATGACACATCTGCCGACAACAAAGAAGATACCGCCATTGTTGGTAGGAAAAACAAGATTGCATTTTTGTTTAAAAACAATATTTCGTAATACCTTTTTTTCAAAATCTTTAATTTACAGAGCGACTAATTTTAATAAAAAACATATTTGTTCAATTAATTTTTTATTTACATGTGATTGATGTCATTTAAAAGTTTCCATGAAAGAGGGTATAATATTGTACATAGCGTTTGTTTTATGAGCCAGCCGTTAAGCTGAATCCAGCGGATACTTGGACACTAATTACTACTCCACCGGATACTTCAGCCAAGCAGGAGGAAGCCGCGGAGCTGGCAGCACTAGCATCACCCTTGATGCCTACGGCACCAGCGATAGTTGGGAACTGAGCTACGATCCATCCCTTGATTGCCAATAGGATTTCTCCGTTTGCGCTTACGATGGCCCATAGGGCTTTTCCAGAGATTACTGAACCCACAGATTTGTTTAAAGCTTCCCAAATGGTACCGACGACTGGGATAATTTTGATTATACCTTCCCAACCTCCTGCGAGGGCGGTTACGATCTTAAATGGGTTGAAGCCTGCCCAAATATTGGCAGCAAGGTGTCCAAGAGCTGGAATTACTTTAACAATGAGGGCTTTTCCAAGGGAAGTGCCCAGTAGACCGATTAAGTGCAAGCAAAGAGATGGGATGGATACGGATATATCTATAATGACGGAAATGGCACTTAGCAACTGGACTGTCAATTGTAAGGCATCTTGGGCTGCTACAGAAAGAAGTTCGATTATTTTACCACAGGCGACACCAGCGAGTTGTAACGATTTTTGTTCAATGCCCTGAGCCAAGGCACTGAGGGCAGCGCAGGCGGTTCCATTTCCTCCGATTTGTGCAACCAAATCTTTAATGACAGATATTTCTGCTGACAAGTCCAGTGAACCAGACAAAGATACAGCAAATTGAAGACAAACGTTGATGAAAACGTTGATGGAGATTTTCTTTTGTGCCAAAAGGACAATTTGAGCCAATACATTGAAAGCGCCATCGATTGTTCCCGAAACCACACCGCCTCCAAGTTGGGCAATTAGAAGGACAACAGCTTCAACATTAACTATCACTGGAGCGATTACATCAACGGATACCTTCGCAAGAATGTCAACCAAGATGGCCACAAGAATTTGTGTACCAGAAACTGCTCCCAAGATGATATCGAGCTTGAGTTTAATATCGGCAGCTACCAAAGCAGCTACACCTCCAGCGCAACCAGCTGCGATTGAAGCCACAGCAGACAAAACGTTAGCTAATACAATAAGGGAACCTTTGAGGACAATTACTTTGTAGGAACCAACGATTTGGAGAACGACTTTCAATGAAGCAACCAGAGATTTTGAAAGGGTTAGGGATAGTTTTATCACATCTGAAACAGCTACTGTAAGTCCTCCTGAAAGGCCAGCTATGATGGTAGCAGCAATTGATAATGCAGCGCTACTAGCGGAATCGACGGAGAAAGAAATGGCGCCGGAAATCTGGAGGAGTACTTTAAGCGATGATAAACCTGAGAACCACACGGCAAAATCAACACTGGCTGCCACCCAAATCAGAGTGGAGACTCCAGCGTTGATAAGCACTCCAGTGCCGGCTTCGATATCGATGGCAATAGCAGCACCGGTGTTGCCATTTACCAGCACAGTGATGTTTTCGTCGACGCTTAATACGAGGGCTACTGCTGCAGTTTGGTTAACTACGGCAACGATGCCCACGGTTGCGTTGATGTAAAGCTCTAATCCGCCCGGAAGGACAGTTGTAGATGGAAGAGAACATTCAATTTGACATTGGTCGGACGAGGCTCTTGATTGGGAAAGATGATGGTGTTTTACGTGGTGTTGTACGTGGTGTTTTTGGTGATGTGAAGACAGGTCTCTTGCATGACGATAATCTAAAAATAAAATTTGCGTTAAACAATTAAAAAAGAAAATATACCAAAAAAAGTCTGAATTATCGCTACTTCAAAAGAATTTAACTTAAACGAAAACCAAATGAAGAACATTATAGGTAATAGAACGTCTACTTTTAAACAGAAAATCTTTGGTCCCATTGGATGGGACATTTAATTTTCACTAGTAATACCACAAGAGGTTAAATTATTTTAGGATTTAATTTAACCTCGCGCGGTATTCTGTAACAAAATACTACACCAAATTGTGTTTAGAATAAAATCATTTTAAAATTATATTTTTTGACTTTTAACAATGTCTCTTTTTTTTCTTTGACAAGACACTAGCATGATTTTTACTTATTGTAGTTGCACGAAAATACCATTTGAAGACTTAACATAGTAAATTCTTTAATTTTGCTTAACCTTTGAGTTACTACGAGTGCTAGAAAATTGCTTATTTACGTTTTTATTTAATTTTATATACACTTTATATGGCGTGCTTAACCAGCGGCAGCGTCATAGGTGTTCATTGAAATTGAAGGAGGCGGTTTTCGCTGCCGCTGGTTGATGCACGCCATATAAAGTACATATAAAAAATTAAATAAAAACCCCAAAAAAGCAATTTTCTACCACTTGGATACAAAATGTCGGAAAATATTCGTGTTTTATAGTTAACAGAATATTTTGCAGTCAAAAAGAACAACTTTTTTTTATTTTTAAAATGAATCAAAAATCATGCACAAAATTTTCCGATGTAAAGATCAATCATGGTGCCATGTCATATTTAGCCACACTAATAGATATATTGTGGTTGCCATTTGAAGGACGAAAATTTGTTTCGAATTGTTCAGAAATATTTGCTTTTAAATTACTTAAAATTGAAAATACTAAATGAAAAAATGTTAAATAAAAGGGTGTCTAAATAATATACAGTGTGTCTACTTAAGTAGGCAACATATGGGAAACTTTTTTATTATTATTGTTAAGAAAAAAAGTTATGATTCATAAAAAGTTCTGAATATTCTTAAATCAAAAATACAATCATCAGATATCAAAAAATTAATATCTGATGATTTTATTTTAGACTTTAGAACATGCAGAACTTTTTATAAAGAATAACTTTTCTTCGTAAAGTTAATAATAAGAAAGTTTCCCATATGTTGCCAAATTAAGTAGACACACTTTATTTTATCGGACATAGATATTTAATTGATTTGATTCCAAGTCATAATCAAAAATAATGTTTCTTGAATATTTTGCATGTTGTTAACGCGTTAAACATACTCAGTTTGTGCTGTCCTCTAGGGCGCTTGCCTAGGCAAACTGCTGTTCTTTCCTTTCTCCTCTAAAATTTACGTTGAAAAGCTTAAGCGTTCCTTTTCTCGAAGCGCGTCACATAATATAATATTATATAATATACAGGAATAATATTTATAATAATATACAGGCACCTATGGTATATCACGGTGTAGGGGGGTTTATTTTAAACATTGAGGTAGAATATTCCATATCAATGATTAAAAAATTACAAAACAATTTTTTGGCTAGCAGTCTTCCAGTTATTAAGCATTTAAGTCTAAAAAACTTGGCAACGCTGTGTTTTTACTGTATATATTACACATATAATATAACTATAAATCATCAAATTTTAACTTTTTATTTTTAAAACTTCATTAAAAAATTGTATTAAAATCTTTTATATAAATAAATATTCATACAAAAATTAAAATATAGTGAATTAATTTTTTAAACCCCATATTTGTAATTTTTTTATACTTAAAATAACGAACGTGGTCTTTAGGACAGTGTTAAAAAAAATTTGACCAAGTTATAAAAAAATATTATAATAATTTTTGTACGAAAAAACGTTACTTACCATGAGCAAGAGTGGTGCAGAGAAGCACACTGAATAAAATGGAAACTAATTGAGTCTTCATCGTTGTCGATTTCCCAACTGACTTTTCACTTAGACTTTCGCCTTTTTATATCGAAAACTTAAAGAATTGTTTAAATTTTCAAGATTTCGTAACATTGTATTTTTTGAATTTTTTTGCAGGTCTATCAGTAGCAAAGAATGTTTAATTTTGTGATTGTAAAAAATACCGTTTATACTAAAAAGTTGTTTAGATAATAATATGAAATATTTCTGTTTTGTTAGAATGCCATAGATATACCCTGCATTTTTTAGTAAAATCAAACGTTTTTAGTAATTTACCAAATGTTTAAAATCAACTGTAACAGGGTGGCCAGTTTTTTCCTAACTAAATTTTCCTGACTTCCACGTTTTTCATTGATTTTTTTTAAATATCTCCCAACAAAAATTTAAATTGAGGGTTCAAATAAAATTAATTAGTTATTTTTCTATATATAAAGGTTTAACTAAATATATTACAATAAAGACTAACAATTAAAATTAAAGCTACAAAAAATATTTTAGAACAGAAACCTAAATTTAAATCATTGGAGAAGTTGCTCGAAATGTCATTATTTAAACTGACCAAACTAGACGGCATATGGAAAATATGAAAAAATCTAAGTACAGTGAATTTGAATTTGCAATTTTACTGTGAATCGATACTTTTTACAAAAAATCGTTAAGAGGAGTTTTTTCCCGTAATATATATATATATATATATATATATATATAATATTAAAATGTGGATTTTTTTTAGACCACTGGCGTACCTTTTTTTCTAAAAAGAGATATTATCACCATTGTAGTGATTTAGGAAAAATATTTTCAAAAAAATATATGGAACCTTGTATTTTTGAAACGGTTGAGTTTTAATACATATTTATTAAGAAAATTAATATTATTTTTTTTATAATACCTACATTAGTTATAAAAGTAAACTAAAACCCCGCAATACATTTTTAAAAGTAGTATAAAAAAATACGGTCATAATACACAAAACCTACTTTCAAACAACGTTGGACGAACGTATTGCTAGAAACGTTGTTATAAGGTTTTCAACCTTTTTAAGTTCCAACGAAAAATAGTTAATCTGTATTTTTTTATTAATTTTTATAATACCTACAGTAGTAGTAAATTCAAACTGCAATACATTTTATGGTATCAAAATAGAGGCCAAAATAAAGTAGTAATAAAGTAATAAAGGAATAAATATACATTTAGCTACATAAAATTAAATAAATATACATTTAGCTACATGAAATTAAGCCCTTTTAAAGGGATTTTTTTTAAATTTTTACCTAAAAGAATTTGTTATATAAAAAAGATTTTATTAATTTTTATAATACAGTAATAGTAAATTCAAACTGCAATACATTTTATGGTATCAAAATAGAGGCCAAAATAAAGTAGTAATAAAGTAATAAATATACATTTAGCTACATAAAATTAAGCCCTTTTAAAGGGATTTTTTTAAATTTTTACCCAAAAGAATTTGTTATATAAAAAAGCTCCAAAATACATTTTAAAGTTAAAAAATATTGGAGGAGATCGGTAAACTACTTACTAGTAAGGAGTTTACAGCAGTTCTAGATGCTTTTAACGAATTTAAATATGGTTAAAAAATGTGCCCAAAATAAAATGCGGCGTAAAATGGTCGTACAAAAAATAGTACCTATATATAATTCGTTATGTTTATAATTGAAGTGGAGTTATAAACTAAGATTTTGCTATATAGGTACAACAATCTGGATACTTGTTTTAATATTGTTGTTTGCATTAATCAACATGCAGAACTCGTATAATTTTCACGTTATGAGATAATTTAAAAAAAAATTTGGTCTCTACTACCCAATTCTGCACAGAACTTATTTTCATGCTAAAATAGACTTGTACGCTTTTGTTTCTTACCCCTTCAAATGAAATACCCAACTCTGCACTTAACTTATTTTTATGCTAAAATGCACTTGTTCCCTTTTGTTTTTTACCCCTTCAATTATATTTCTTAATGTGACGCAGAGAAAAACCTGTGATGTGTATTATCAAACGCGCGTGATAAGCTGTTAGAAACTATATTTTACTAATAAAACATCTACGAATAATTCTGAAAGCTAAAACAAAACAGACATTAAGCAATCGTGGAAATAGGAACGTTTCTCTATAATACCAAAGAAGTCGAACATTGATAGCTATCCATGCTAAAAAGGGCGGGTAATATCGAATGATTGCGGGTAAAAAACCAAGCTAGTTTTATATCCATTTATATCTGTTTTCATCCGACATAACTGATTTTACCCGGCATGTCGGTATTCATCTGCATTTGCGGGTATAAATGTTATCCGCGAACGTCGGGTTTTATCTATTGAGTTCTATGTCTGCTTTTGTCTGTTTTCGTCCGCAAATACCTGTATTTGGGTTTATATCTGCATTCACCCGGTTTTTTCTGCAAATAACCTTTTTTTATCCGGTTTCCTTGCAAACATCTGCGAACGTCTGCTTCATCCGATTACACCTGAAACATCCGCTTTTATACGCGAAGATCTACTTTCATCCGCGAACATCTGCTTTAATCCGCAAAGATCTGCTTTTATCCGCAAACATATGCATTTATTCTGTGAACGTCTGCTTTAATCCGCAAACAACTGTTTTATTCCGCACTTCTGCTTCATCCGATTTCATCAGATGTTTCACATCTGCTTTTATAAGCGAAGATCTACTCTCATCCGCGAACGTCTGCTTTCGTCCTGTTTCACCTGCAACATCTTCTTTCATCTGCGAACGTTTGCTTTAATCCGCAAACGTCTGCTTTAATCCGCAAACATCTGTTTTCATTCGCAAACATCTGCTTTTATCCGCAAACACCGGTTTTTATCCGCAAAACTACTTCTTTTGTCCGGTTTCACCTGCAAACATCTGCTTTCATCCTCTAACGTCTGCATTCATCCCTAAACATTTACTTTAATCCGCAAAAGTCTGCTTCATCCGATTTCAACTGCAAACATCTGCTTTTATCCTCGAAGATCTGCTTTTATCTGTGCACGTCTGCTTTTGTCCGCGCACATCTGATTTTATCCGCAAACATCTGCATTTATCCGCGAACGTCTGCTTTAATTCGCAAACATCTGCTTTAATTCGCAAACATCTGCTATCGTCCGACTTCACCTAGGTGAAGTCGGACGAAAGCAGATGTTACCTACAAACATCTGCTTTTATCCTCGAAAATCTGCTTTTATCTGTGCACGTCTGCTTTTATCCGCGAACATCTGCTTTTATCCGCAAACATCTGCATTTATCCGCGAACTTCTGCTTTAATCCGCAAACATCCGCTTTTATCCGCGAACGTCTGCTTTAATCCGCAAACCTCTGCTTTTATTCGCAAACATCTGCTTTCGTCCGATTTCACCTGCAAACCTCTGCTTTCACCCGCGTTCGGTTTTTTCCGTGATAGACTGCATTTCCTTCGTCCATTTCGGCCCTGTTTCGACTGCAAACGTCTGGTTTCATTCGCGCTTTTCGTTTTACTTACGTCTTCTTGGGTATACTTTAGTTTAATTTACCTGCATTGTCAAAGTTTACTGAGGTTTAACTAACTAGTTGTTAGCCGTTCACGGCACAAAACCTTATAACTTTAAAAGGAATTATTTGAATAAAAACAACCTGTAAAAGAAATAAGTTTATTGAACTTCAATATTATTTATTATTTTCAAATACAAATAAGGTCTTTATTAAAAAACATAAATAAACATTTTTAATCATTAAGTTCATATTTAAATAAATTGTTAAAATACATATTTTTAATTTAAACTATCTACATTTGGAATGATAACATCTTTATTTTGAATGGAATTTGTTTGAAAAACACTTATTTTGGCGTAGAATTTTTAATTGAACTTTATAAACTTTTTAATTTTGACCACCAATATTTTTAATATATATGTAAGAATTAATAGACTTTCTTTGGTAACCTTCACTATAGTATACCTGATTTTTAAATTTAAATCTGTTGAATATATATATATATATGCTGAAAATGACGGATGATTGCGGATATAAATTCTTCGTCAAAACCGGATAAAAGCAGATGATTGCGGGTATAATTTTTCATTGAACTTTATAAACTTTTTAATTTTGACAACCAATATTTTTAATATATATGTAAGAATTAATAGACTTTCTTTGGTAACCTTCACTATAGTATACCTGATTTTTAAATTTAAATCTGTTGAATATATATATATATGCTGAAAATGACGGATGATTGCGGATATAAATTCTTCGTCAAAACCGGATAAAAGCAGATGATTGCGGGTATAAATTCTTCGTCGAAGCCGGATAAAAGCAGATAAAAGCGGGTAAAAATATCATCTGATCTGCTTTTGTCCGCATCGCTATATCCGCGAACACCCGGTTGGTTGTGTTTTATGTCCGGTTAGTGCACCCCCGCAATCATCTGCAATCATCTGTTTTTAACGGTCTTCACTGTGTTTCGTTTATATCTGAATTTGTCCGGAATCATCTGCAAACGTCTGCTTACGTCTGTTTTTATCCGCGATTATCTGTATTTTTTTTCGTCTATTTTTGTCGGGTTTTATCTGCAAACGTCTGGTTTTATCCGCGAGTATATGCTTTTACCCGCGAACATCTGCAATCATCCGCGGACATCTGCTTTCATCCGCGAATATCTGATTTTATCCGCCAACATCTGCTTTTATCCGCGAACATCTGCTTTCATCCGCGAACATCTGCAGTCACCCGCGAACAACTGCTTTTATCCTCGAACATCTGCAATCACCCGCGAACATCTGCTTTCATCTGCAAACGTCTGGTTTTATCCGCAAACATCTGCTTTCATACGGTTTCACCCACAAACATGCTTTTATCTGCGAACGCCTGATTTCATCCGGTTAGTGCACCCCCGCAAACATCTGCTTTTATCCGCGAACATCTGCAATCACCCGCGAACATCTGCTTTCATCCGCGAACATCTGCAATCATCCGCGAACATCTGCAATCATCCGCGAACATCTGCTTTTATCCGCAAACATCTTATTTTATCCGCGAACATCTGCTTTTATCCGCAAACATCTGCTTTCATCCGCGAACATCTGCAGTCACCCGCGAACAACTGCTTTTATCCGCGAACATCTGCAATCACCCGCAAACATCTACTTTTATCCGCAAACATCTGCTTTCATCCGCGAACATCTGTTTTATCCGCGAACATCTCATTTTATCCGCGAACATCTGCAATAATCCGCGAACATCTGCTTTTATCCGCAAACATCTCATTTTATCCGCGAACATCTGCTTTCATACAGTTTCACCTGTAAACATGCTTTTATCTGCGAACGCCTTATTTCATCCGGTTAGTGCACCCCCGCAAACATCTGCCTTTATCCGTAAACGTCTGATTTTATCTGCAAACATCTGCTTTTATCCGCAAACTTCTGATTTTATCCACAAACAACTGATTTTATTCGCAAACATCTGATTTTATCTGCAAACATCTGCTTTTATCCGCAAACATCTGTTAAAATTTTAATCTCCAAACGTCTGATTTTATCCGCAAACATATTCTTTTATCCGAAAACATATGCTTTTATCCGCAAACATCTGATTTTATCCGCAAACATCTGGTTTTATCCGCAAACATCTGATTTTATACGCAAACATCTGCTTTTATCTGCAAACATCTGATTTTATCCGCAAACATCTGATTTTAATCGCAAACATCTGATTTTATCCGCAAACATCTGCATTTATCCGCAAATATCTGCTTTTATCCGCGAACATCTGCAAACATCTGCTTTTAATTGCAAACCTCTGCTTTCATCCGCGTTCGGTTTGCCTGCATTTCCTTTGTCCATTTCGGTCCTGTTTCGTACGCAAACGTCTGGTTTCATTCGCGCTTTTTGTTTTCCTTTTTCTTGTGTATACTTTAGTTAAGTTTACCTGCTTTGTCAAATTTTACTGAGCTTTAACTAACTGGTTGTTAGCCGTTCACGGCACACAACTTTATAACTCTAAAAAGAATTATTTGAATAAAAACAACCTGTAAAGGAAATAAGTTTATTCAACACGACATTTTCCCAATGGGAAAATAATTTAATTATATTCACCAGATTTAAATTTAAAAATCAGGTATACTATAGTGAAGAGTACCACAGAAATAATAAGTCTATTCTTACATATATATTAAAAATATTGGTTATGCCAAAATTAAAAAGTTTTTAAAGTTAGATGAAAAATTCTACGCCTATATTTATAAATAAGTGTTTTTCAAACAAATTCCATACAAATTGAAGATGTTATAATTCCAAATGTATTTGAAATTAAACATATATGTTTTCTAACAATTAATTTAAATGTAAGCTTAATGATTAAAAAATATCTATTTATGTCCTTTAACAAAGACCTTATTTGTATTTTACCAAATAATATTGAAGTTCAATAAACTTATTTCCTTTACAGGTTGTTTTTATTCAAATAATTCCTTTTAGAGTTATAAAGTTGTGTGCCAGTTAGTTAAAGCTCAGTAAAATTTTACAAAGCAGTTAAACTAAACTAAAGTATACACGAGAAAAAGGAAAACAAAAAGCGCGAATGAAACCAGACGTTTGCGTACGAAACAGGACCTATGTAAATGGACAAAGGAAATGCAGACAAACCGAACGCGGATGAAAGCAGAGGTTTGCAGTTAAAAGCAGATGTTTGCAGATGTTCGCGGAAAGCTCAGTAAAATTTGACAAAGCGGATAAACTAAACTAAAGTATACACGAGAAAAAGGAAAACAAAAAGCGCGAATGAAACCAGACGTTTGCGTACGAAACAGGACCGAAATGGACAAAGGAAATGCAGGCAAACCGAACGCGGATGAAAGCAGAGATTTGCAATTAAAAGCAGATGTTTGGAGATGTTCGCGGATAAAAGCAGATATTTGCGGATAAATGCAGGTGTTTGCGGATAAAAGCAGATGTTTGCGGATAAAATCAGATGTTTGCGAATAAAATCAGGTTTGCGGATAAAAGCAGATGTTTGCGGATAAAATCAGATGTTTGCGTATAAAATCAGATGTTTGCGTATAAAAGCAGATGTTTGCGGATAAAAGCAGATGTTTTCGGATAAAATTAGATGTTTGCGGATAAAATCAGATGTTTGCGGATAAAATCAGATGTTCGCGGATAAAACCAGATGTTTACGGATAAATGCAGATGTTTGCGGATAACATCAGATGTTTGCAGATAAAATCAGATGTTTGCGGATAAAAGCAGATATTTGCAGATTAAAATAGATGTTTGCGGATAAAAGCAGATGTTTGGAGATTAAAACATATGTTTTCGGATAAAAGCAGATGTTTGCGGATAAAAGCAGATGTTTGCAGGTGAAATCTTATGAATCAGACTTTTGCGGACTAAATGAGATGTTTGCGGATAAAACAGATGTTTGTGGATTAAAATAGATGTTCGCGGATGAAAGTAGATCTTCACGTATAAAAGCAGATGTTTGCAGGTGAAATCGGATAAAGCAGACGTTTGCGGATTAAAGTAGATGTTTGCGGATAAAATCAGATAAAACCGGGTGAATGCAGATATAAACTCAAATACAGGTATTTGCGGATGAAAACAGATAAAAGCAGACATAGATCTAAATAGATAAAACCCGACGTTCGCGGATAATATTTATACCCGCAATTGCAGATAAAAACCGACATGCCGGGTAAAATCAGATATGTCGGATAAAAACAGATATAAATGGACATAAAACTAGCTGGGTTTTTTATCCGCAATCATCCGATATTACCCGTCTTTTTCAGCAGGGTAATTATAATAAAATTATTTTCACATTTTCCCAATGGGAAAATAATTTCAGTTGGCATTATTTTTTTGCGGATAAAAGCAGATGTTTGCGGGTGAAATTGGACTAGACAGGCGTTTGCGGGTTATACTAGACATTTCCAGATAAAACCCGACAAAAATAAAATGCAGGTAATCGCGGATAAAACCAGACGTAAGCAGACGTTTACAGATGATCCCGGACAAATGAAGATTTAAACAAAACGCAGTGAATTCGGTTAAAAACATGATTACAGATGATTGCGGGGGTGCACTAACCGGACATAAAACACAACCAACGTATAGCGATGCGGACAAAAGCAGATTTTTTATTTAGAAAAAATACATATCAATGTGCCCCCATGTGCCACTACAGATAATAAATATAAAAATGTTATCAGATGATATTTTTACCTGATTTTATCCGGCTTCGACGAAGAATGTATATCCGCAATCATCTGTGTGTTCATAATAACTCGAAAACTATTCACTTTATGGATAGGACATGGTACAGTAATTTTACTCAGAATTTTATACAGAATTTAAAAATGTAAAAATATATGGGGTGTTCTATTTGAAATAAAAAAGTTTATATCACTTACAAATTATATTTTGTTTAAAATATTTTAGAAAAATAGACTTAAATGGATTATAAGCGATTTTAAATTTTTTATCGATATCCTTTTCTGTTCCCCAGAAACTTCTAATGGACCACGAATGTGAAACACCCTGTATATTAGAAACATTTTTCCTGAACAGATTTTCCAGAAAATGCCACCCTGTGTATAAGTGGGATAATATAACAAACGCATCTAACATTTTAACGGTTAAAGATTTTTCAAAATTAAACTTCTTTTCTATAAAAAACTTCAATTAGATATTCCTAAAAAAATGTGAATAATTTGATTGTCAAAAAAATTAATAATTATTTAAAGCGCCCAAACGCATTTTTTCAAGATAATTGATGTGTATAGGACATAAAAAAATTTTAACTTAAAAATACGCCCTTTATATTTTCTTTATAAATTTTAAAGCACTTTATAATAAATTTGTTTTTAACGTTTATTTTTCGCCTGTAGTGTATTACAAATATTGCCTGTATATAGTAACAAACCCTCTAGATTGGGACAAATAAATAAAAACACATATATGTATAACAACGATTTATTTTTAAGTTAAAATAAATAACAAATTGGACTTATGTACAAACTTAAAACCTACGATTTTGTTTGTATAGGTAAAAGTGCGGAAAATAAAAAAGGCCTTTATTTAGTAAAAAATAGATAATTATATTAAAAAGTGAGGGTTTCAAAAAGGTATTTGGCACTAAACCTAGAGAGCACAGATCAATAAAGCGGCAAATCAAGATTGTGTTTTTCAATGTACCTCCTCCTTGCATTAGCAATCAGCTGATCTTTTCTTTCTTGGAAGGACTTGTTTCTTTCCGATGCTGATTTTGGAAAGGAAGAGGCGGCTGTATTGAACATCACCCTACCGCCGCCGCCACCGCTGCTTTCCGCTGGAGAACTCTTCGCACTGGGTAGCGAAGAGGAGGTCGATGGCTGCGGAGAAGCTGAGGTAGAGGGGATTGGTTCGGAAATAAAATGAACGCGGCCCTCCAAAATGTTGGTTATTGTTGTGTCTATACTCTTAGTTATACCTAAAAATAGATTTTTTTTTCTAGTTGCACTTAAGGTATTTACCGAACAATTGCGGAATGTGATACATAGGGTTGGGAAAATTTCACTTTTTGCTTGTACTTGAAATTTCACTTGAAATTTTCATGACATTTATGAAATTTATTAAAATTTCCTTAATTTCTAAAATTTCATGAAATTTATGAAATTTATTGAAACTTACAATAAATTTCAATCACTTTAAGTGTAATATATTAATATTGAAATAAGCCCACTCGGGGACCATGGCAAATTGCCTCTCTTATCTCCTACCCCTCTGTGGGCCCCTGACCACCAATAATATATATAGTAAATAGTATTTACTAAATACCTATGTTTACCACAAATTTCTGGAGATTTCCTTTTAAAATTACTAAAACTAAGAGAGATATAGCACTTTTTGGTAAGCTAATGAGATTGTGCCACTTTCATTGTTTTATATTTATATATATTTATTATTTTTTATATATTTTACTGAAATTTTACGAAAATTGAAAAAACTTCATCAAAATTTTATGAGCCAAAGGCATTTTTTATCCGTTTTCCGATGCAATTATAGCAAAAGTAAAAGTTTAAATTAATCATGACTTAAAAAAAAAATTATTTACAAATTAACTTGGTAACAATATAAGTAAGTAACAATAATTACTTATAGTGTATTCAAACCAAGCCGAACTAAACAAAAACGCCCAGACGCTTGATAACTAAAGCTTCCAGGGGAGGCCGCATGTGAAATTTATGCGAAATTTCCAGTAAATTGCGAAACTTTCAATGAAATTTCTGAAAGTTTCACAGGCAATGTTGAAATTTTCGAATTGAAAATTTCATTTGAAATTTTTAAAAATTTCACTTTTCCAACTAAATGAAATATTTCAAGTTTGAAACTTTCAAAGTTGAAATTTTCATTTGAAAATTTCAACTGTCCCAACCCTAGTGATACATTTCCGCACGTGACTGCAGTTGACCAAAGGAGCGGTCAGCAGACGAGTGCCGAAAAGACACTTTTCTGTACTTTTTTGTACTATGCTCCCCACATCCCACCATATAAACACGTACGGAACGCAGTCTTTTAAAAATTTGGCATTTAAGACCTTTTAGGTTATACAGGGATGGTAATGGGCTCTTTAATAAACAAAGATGCATGTTATATGAAACGTACGAATAAGTGAGATAAACGTATAAATAAGAGACAAACAACCATTGTTGAACGAATAGGATAACAAAATACTTATTTCCCCTCTGCCATAAGCGTGCAGTACAAGATTTTAAAACGATTAAATCAAAACAATTAAACGTCCTCCAATGTTTTACTTCCCCTCCTCTAACTGCTTTACAATCCCACCAAGATACATACACCTTAAGATAGGATGGTGCGCATGTTGGGCGGGGCTTAAATATGTCACTTGATGAGTGTTTTTAAATCTTTAACGTGCTTTTTAATTATCTGCTGCTAAAATTATTGTTTTAGCGATGCTGTTGGATGTTAACTTGCTCTATTTTTTGTTTAACTTGTTGTTTTTGCTTTCGGTAAGGTTCGAATTACTTTTCAGTGTTCAAAGTATTGTTATTGCGTTGTGTTAACCTGTTTTGTTTGTTTATTATTGTTTTTGTGTTGCGTTAACTTGTTTTGTTTGTGTTTTAGTTTGTGTCGTACCATTTGAATTTATTAAAATGCGGTGTGGCATATTTGGATGCAATTCAGACAACCAGTCCAAGAAAAACCCTTTAAATAAAAACATTAAATTTAATCGATTCCCGAAAAACTTTGATTTGTGGAAACAGTGGTTAAATGCCACAAAAAGAATAGGCAATATTAACGTTAAGACCGCTTCTGTTTCCTATAAACATTTTCTGGACAGTGGCTATAAGTTTAATTTAAAACACCAAGGCTTAAACTACAGCCCTAAATGTTATCAAGGACTAAAAGCATCTATTATCCATATTATAACAATTTCTTCCAATATTAAGTTTAATAAAAACGCACTATGTCCAGATATTTCTCTATTTTCTTTGATAATATTACTTTTATTCGGCATGAACCAAAACTCGTACACGGGAGCATCCAGGCTGGATGATCCAGCCCTGGCGCGGCGCGGTCTGGCCTGCCCCACCACTATTTCGTCACTCCACCACTCCCACGTCTCATAATGCATTTGTCTTTATTTATTAAACGGCCTAAGAGCACATTACCATCCCTGCAGGATATATCTGACAAAGTATAGTCAATGAAGGAAATAATGACTGACACTGACAAAAATCATTTTTACTTTACAGGGTGTAACATAAAGGTTGGTAGTCTATATGAAGTCAGTGTAAAAGGCAAGGAAATTGGGGTACAATCAATTTACTAATTAAATTAAAAATTAACATTATAAATAACACCTTTTTGTAGAAACCCTATAGCTATGAACAATGGTGGTGTGAATTAACCTTAATTGGATAGTTGTCAATAGGTTTGTTCCAAAAAAGCATTTGGACTGTTAAACGGACGTCAGGGAGATGCGCAACAGTAAAATCGTTCATTCGACAGTCCAAATTCTCGGTAGGAACATACATAATGTTTTGGTTGTTTTCTGACATTCTTTTTAATTTGTTGCACCTCTACTCATTCTGCTAAAGGGCCATTCCACGCGTAACGGATAGGATAGTTGCCGTGTTTTTATTTACAAAATAATATTGTTCTATTATATTACCAATGTCAAATTTTTATAAATAGTTCTAAACTAAAGCTGTTTAACAAGGTTTTTATTTGGCAAAATTAGGTATCGTGGTTGACTCTTTAATTCCTTAAAAACTAATAATTTAAAGCGTAACGGGCGGGACTATTGCAAAGTCCCGACCGTTACGCTTTGAATTATTAGTTTTCAAGGAATTAAAGAGTCAACCACGATACCTAATTTTGCCAAATAAAAACCTTGTTAAACAGCTTTAGTTTAGAACTATTTATAAAAATTTGACATTGGTAATATAATAGAACAATATTATTTTGTAAATAAAAACACGGAAACTATCCTATCCGTTACGCGTGGAATGGCCCTAAAGCCCTAAGTAGAGTACTCTGATTGACTAATAACTTAATTAATAACCAATTAAGGGTAAGTCAGATAAAAAAACGCTAAAGGACTTTTCGTCTTCTTCTTGGCTCTACTATACGCCCTAAAATATGCTAACCTTTTTGTATTAACACCCTGTATACAGGGTGATTCCAAGTTAAAGTAAAACAATTAAATGGGAGATTCTCCACAAGATTTGGTGATATATAGATGTTAGGGCTAAGTACCTTAGATTTTGAGATACAGGGTGTTGAAAATGCAAAGAAAATTGGCATAACTAGGTTTTATAACATGCTCTACAATAATCTGGTACTTTACGGAATTGATTTACCCCAAACCCCCTAATAAAATTGCTGTCATGTAACTGACTTTTTTTGAATTTTTTGCAACTTTTTGATATCATTCGCAGTTCTTTATGGTGCCTTTTTCGATTACATACATAACGGCCATTCCACGCGTAACGGATAGGACAGTTGCAAGTTTTTATTTACAAAATAATATTGTTCTATTATATTACTAATGTCAAATTTTTATAAATAGTTCTAAACAAAAGCTGTTTAACAAGGTTTTTATTTGGCAAAGTAGTTATTGTGGTTGTATGTTTAATTCATTAAAAATATTTTTTTTTTATTCAAAAACAGTACTAGTAGTGTTTTTGAATAAAAAAATTTATTTTTAAGGAATTAAACGGTCAACCACGATACCAAATTTTGCCAAATAAAAACCTTGATAATGTTAAATGTATGGAAAAGAAATGAAGAAAGAAAATTGACATATTAATAAATAAACAAGAATATATCTAAAAAACAAGTGTGGAAAAAAAATAAAGTGATACAGTGAAAATTGTGAAAGAAATTGGACACAAAATAATATTAAAATGAACTATGAACAATAATAATATAAAATAAATGATTCAAGGGATGAGTTGTACACAGATTCTCTTAATTGAGACCCTTGATAAAATTAAATTTTCAAAAAACATAATGAGCTGGCCACATAGCTTTTAATTAGGCTAAAGGCGGCCTTTAAAAGGCCATTACCCCTGAACACAGACTCTGTGTTCAAATTAAAGAAGAAGAACTTAAGAACGGAATCCACCAATTAATTCCCAACCTATATGTTACACCCTATATTTTCAGCATAAGTAAAATAGGCAGTTAACTTTTTTAATATTTACTTCTTAAAATTTTGTATGCTTTTGTTTTGGAAAAAAAATCCCTCCAGTGGCTTAACTAAGCAACTTTTAGATTGTTCCTAAACCTAATTATGTTGAGTCCAAGAATCTATTATATTTTGTTGTTATTTTTATAATTTTTGATTTTAAATGAAAAATTTTTTAAACAACCCTTTCCTCTAAACATTTTATACTACAAATTACACAAACTGCATCAGCTGATTAACCCAGAAGAATATTGTATTATTTTACAAACTAAAGCAACTTACATAAGTCATTATATATTGCTTTTAAAGGTACATGCGGCAGAACTTCCTTGACTTGCATGCTCATTCTTTGCAACTCAGGTCTTTGTGATGGTGCACGAGATTGAGCCTCCATTGCTCTTTGCTCTTCAATCAACGTCTTTTTCTCAAACTCAATCAGATCGGATGCTGAAAAATTTGGTGTGGGAACCTAAAAAACACTTGATAAATATCAGCAAGTTATATTGTATTAACTATATATTGTTACCATTAATGAAGTAGCTATATGTTGACGAACAATCTCGGCAAACTCCTGAACTGTGTTACTTTTATTCTCTAAGGCAGGCAAGAATTTAAGTTTGTAAACAGTGACAGGAGAAAACATGTAAACTATACAATCGACCAAGTTACTTGAGCCCAATCTGTTTACAGACATCTCCAAAACGGGTCTTTCTATTTTAAGTGCTATAGGCTGTACTCTTGTAGAAATTTGAAATGGGAGAGTTTTAAACTTTAAAACTCCCTTTCCATTTGTCATCTTTCCTTCTGGCGTAAAGTTCAGTGCTACTTTGTTTCCAGTCACCCATTCTATAAGAGTTTTCTTGAAGGTGTCCAAGTTTGATTGGGAACCAAAGTACTTGGCACCAAAACCTTTGGACTTTACTAATGAATTTTTAATTCCAGGCTATAATTAAAACATTAGACTTTTAAACACATACCTATGGTGTTGAGAGATACAAAAGTGTCTTTTTTATTTTGCTTTATTTCTGATAAATGTTAAGTTCTATAAATGTCTACAAAATATGCTGTGAAAGAGGTTAAAATATTAATGGCATACATTGTATTTTGTAATAGTTATTTACGATATAAGTGGGATAAGAGCTTTATTAACGTACGCATGCGAAATTTGCCCAACGAGTGCGTAGCACGAGTTGGGCAATCGCAAAAGTACGTTAATAAAGCGTTATCACACGTATATTGTACAAATTTTTATCTACGCCTTTAAATGAAAAAATAAACGGTAATTATTTTTGTCTAAGAGTCTTAGACTAAGACTTAATTTAGGGTTATTTTGACATTTTGACTTTTTTATTTGATTTGTTAAAAGCAGAAAAAACGCGTGCGTTAATGAACTTCTTATCTCACTCAAAATGAGTGGGATAAGAAGTTCTTATCTCACTGGCGTAGATAAAATATTTTACAAACCCCTGTATTTTGAAAACAAATGTTTTTAAATTAGGTATAAGTATGTGTAAAAGTACGAGTTTGATTTTGGCCTCAAAATAATGATATAACTTTATTCCAAAACAGTATAAAAAAAATATATACAGGGTGTCCTAAAAATTGCGCACTAATAGCGTTAATCAATGCTATTAGTATATATCATTGTAGGTGGGTTTTATTTAAAGTAGAAAAAATAACAATTTTCCTGACAAATAGTTCTTGAATTTTATTTTCTTTATTTTAATTTTTGTTTAATATTTATATATTATATATATATAGGTATTGAACACAACTTAAAATTTGTAAGTATCCAAGTTATGATGATTTTTAGTTTGTGTTTTTTGGCAACAAATTGTCGTCAAGCATGGTCACTTCAAATAGCTGCTAGATACCTGGTTTATTTTATTCCATAACAATTGCTAACCATTCTTAGATGTTGTCACCTAAATGTGTAAAACTGCCATAAACATTTTTTTCAGTTTTTACCATTGTATTGTCATTTGCTACAAAAAACTGCAAAAGATGGTGACAATGTGTGATATACAGAACAGTGTTGGCAATTGTCTTAAGTTTTTTAACTAAATGCTTAATAACTACCCGGACAACAATCGGGATTTCCTGGTGAAGTCATGATGATATCACAACGTGATTTTTTTATCACGCTGTGATATCCTGAGTGCATACACATGCTTCATCACAGTGATATCATGTAGAACTCACGGTGTGATATTTGCAAAATTTGCGCATGCGTATGAGCCCTGCCAACTGCGAATTTAAAACCTGAACGTTTTGTTAAACATTGGAATATCTTTTTTAATTGAACCTGAACAACATTCTTGATATTCATACGAACATCATATCGTGATTTTCACAAATTTTATTCATACTGATATTATACGGAAGTCACAGCGTGATAAATGAAAATCATACGAACGTCACGTCGTGATTTTCACAAATTTTATTCATACAGACATCATCCGGATGTCACTGCGTGAGAAATGAAAATCATGTCGTGATTTTTTAAGCCATCACTGTTTGCCATTGACCGATGGCCTAAAAAATCACGACATGATTTTTTATGCTATCGGTGTTTGGGCATAAAAAATCACTACATGATTGTTTATGCCATCGGTGCACCGACATGTTTGGATATTTATTTTTGCGCCACATTCGTACATTAAAAGAAAAAGTATGTTAACAATTGAATTACCAGTTTTTGCGGTAAAATGCATTTAATATTTTCTTGAATGTAAATTAACTAATAATTTTAATCCAAAAAAATGTTGAATGTATTTAACAACAAAAACAGTTGATTCAATATATATGTAGGTATACTTTTTCTCTCAATGTACGAATGTGGCGCAAAAATAAATATCAAAACACCGATGGCATAAAAAATCACGACATGATTTTTTATGCCATCGGTGTTTGGCACATACTTCTCTAAGTATTTGGTGTTTGGTCATAAAAAATCACGACATGATTTTTTATGCCATTGGTGTTTGGATCTTCATTTTTGCGACACATTCGTACATTGAAGGAAAAAGTATGTTAACAATTGAATCAGCAGTTTAACATTCAATATTTTCTTGGATTTAAATTAACTAGGTATATATAGTTAATTTAAATCCAAGAAAATATTGAATGTATTTAACCGCAAAAACTGTTGATTCAACATAATTTTTCTCTTAGTGTACGAACGTAGCGCAAAAATGATTATCCAAACACCGTTGGCATAAAAAATCACGACATGATTTTTTGTGCTATCGGTCAATCCCAAACAGCGATGGCATAAAAAATCACGACATGATTTTCGTTTCTCACGCAGTGACATCCGGATGATGTCCGTATGAATAAAATTTGTGAAAATCACGACGTGACGTTCGTATGATTTTCATTTATCACGCGGTGACTTCCGTATGATATCAGTATGAATAAAATTTGTGAAAATCACGACATGATGTTCGTATGAATATCACGAATGTTGTCCGGGTAGGAAACTGCTTATTGAAACCAAAATTTTATTTTTTTTATAGGTACTTTAAGTACCCCCCCCTTAAAGCAAAGTATGGTGACATTTTTGGTTTTCAAATGACATGACCACTTGTTAAATGTACAGTACTTTATAACCCTAATACCTTGTACATATTTCTTACCGTTAGTGATCCAGTGGCAGCTTGCAAAGCCAGATGGTCAAAAAGTGATACACTATTGCTAATGTAAACATTAACATTTTCCTTAGCTTCAGGATTTTCTACTTGCACTATAATTCCTAACGATAAGCAAGCTATTTTATTCAAAAACTTTTGAATCAGCTGTGTTTCAGATAAAATACTGCCACATATTAAAAGTCCTATAAGTAGTATTATTCTTAATATGAACAATATCACTCCAAATGGAGCATAAAAGAATAGTAAACATAGTTTAATCTCACTTTCTGGAAACCTAAAATGGCATTTTTAATAGATTTACTACGCATTTACTTACGTTTTGCTTACCTATTTGTTCTAAACAGGTGCTTTATTTCAATATTTGACATTTTGAAATTTTAATTTCATCCAAATTTTCATAATAAAGGTTATGTCCCTAAAAACTTTCCTTTATTGGAAGAAAGTCAAATGTAACTTTTGATGCTTCAAAAACTCTTAAATATCACTGGACACGTTTAAAAAAATAGTGTACGGCCCGAAATTTAATATAAAAACGAATATTTTTATATAAAACTACGTCACTCTAACATATGATCACGCCATTATTTATTAAAACTTTCGTTTGTAAATATGCTTTGTTGTTGAAACATTTAGATAAGGTTTATTTAAAAGAATTACCTTCGCAAGGGATTTAAAATAATCTTAAAATAATCCAAAATATTAGACCAGAAAATTATATTTGACACAAAGGTTTTATCAAATGGAATTTTGAAAGAAAAAGCTAAATCACAGAAAAGTTAGATAGGCAACCATAGATTAGATAAAGTAGGCAACCCCACAACCCTATGTATAGGTGGCATCACAGAACATAAAATATCAGAGACAATACTCTGATAATATTATTAACTTAATAATATTAAGTGAAATCTATACACATTTTACATTACACAAAGCATTTTGAAGCTAGTGATTGATTACCGCCTAGGCTGTAAAAATAATTTAAACCAATCGGGTAACGTTTTTTACCCCAGTCTGTTAAAAACCCGTTGGGACCAATTAATAAAAATGACTACTGTCAGATCTCTCTAACCTTACTTTCCAGTAGAGAGATTCTGCTTTTATTTAACTATTATTATATATAATAATTATAATTGTACGATTAAAAAATAAAATTATGCCTTGAAGATCAAATGTAAGTATGCCATGCAAAGTTACTTTATAAGTTTTATTTAAATTAATCCGTAAACACTATCTATGTATATCTAGTAGTACTTATTTTTAACAAAATATATAGGTAAAGTTCTTTTTTTATCTGGACTGCGGCAACGTTGCAACCAAAATTGGTCGCATTGATTAAAACAAACTATATAAGCTAGTTATAAATCTAATTGTGGTTATGTATTATTTATTGTAGCTTACATTGTGCAGTTGCCAAGTTGAGTTGTCGAAATTCGTAGTTAAAAATGCAATTAATTTGGCTTTGGTGGTGCATAGGTTGCTTTACGGCCCAGAAGAGAAAGTATTCCTAGCGGATAATAATATTCGCGTTGAAAAGAATTTATATAAAAGAAATTAAAATTAAATGTTGTCCAATGGTGAATATATTCACCATTGGACAACATTTAATTTTAATTTCTTTTATATAAATTCTTTTCATTATAATGTGAAAATAAATTTAATTTTAATTATTTTTTAATGTGTGATCATCACACTGTGATGTAATATTTATAAAACCAAATTTGTTACTTTTTTACTCCAAAAATGTCCATATAAGGCGATGTACTTTTTCTTCCATTGTGGCATTTGGCATAAGTAATTTCATCAAAATTGACAAGTAAATTTTCAATCATAAATATTATTGTCAATTTGACAGTGTTAAAGTATTTAATTAAATTCTTTAACAGAAGTACCATTTTTAAATACTAAAAAACCAAGTCAAAGTGGCATAAGGCACCAACTTAACAAAAAAACACGAGTCCAGATAAAACAAAAATGAACTAGCAAAATATTAGGTAAGTACTTTGTTTCAAATAATTTTAATTTGTATAGAATTTAACATTAGGGGTCATCCATTAATTATGTGAGGCTATTTTGGCGATTTTTCGACTCCCCCCCTCCCCTTGGTGAGATGTCGTGAGCTCACGACATCTGATTTCGCTCGACCCCCCTCCCCCTCCCTTAATCTCACGTGAGATTTTTTAAAATGCATGGTTTTAATGGAAATAAGTTAATCTTTGATTGATTAATCAATTGGAATTCCATTAGATTTATTTAAAAAAAATAATTGTTATAATTGTTTACTTAATTTAACCCAGTTTTCTCGCAATTTTACACCGTTTTAACAGAAGTACCATTTTTAAATACTTCTTCTTCTTCTTTGTTTGGTTTGGCCTTTCCCATCCAGGATTTAGCCAGCTTAAATGTGTCTCTGTGTATACTGTTGATTGGTGAGAGGTGTGTCTAGGCTGTCCTATATCCTCCCTCCTTCATTGTCGAATCTGAATTTTATTTATTCACTTTTATAGAACCATGTCATCTTTTCATCACTATGCACACATGGATCCATGCACAGAATTTTCCAAGTGTCTTCAATCTTTAAACATCCGATCCATCTCTTGATTATTTCCATATATTTTTATAGATTCTTGAATAAAACCAGTGTGTTTCTACGCTGGGAGTCCAATTTTGTCTCTCCTGGGTCAAAGTCATAAAACCAGTGTGTTTCTACGCTGGGAGTCCAATTTTGTCTCTCCTGGGTCAAAGTCAGCTATGTTTCATACTTTTCATCGAGCGATGCACTACACACGAAAGACAAAATCCATAGAAATAGTATTATTTCTATGACAAAATCGAACTGCCATTTTTAAATACTAAAAAAAAAAACAAGTCAAAGTGGCATAAGGCACCAACCTAACAAAAAAACACGAGTCCAGATAAAAAAAAATGAACTAGCAAAATTTAATATTAATATTAATATTAGGTACTTTGTTTCAAATAATTTTAATTTGTATAGAATTTAACATTAGGGGTCATCCATTAATTATGTGAGGCTATTTTGGCGATTTTTAGACTCCCCCCTCCCCTTGGTGAGATGTCGTGAGATTTCGCTTGACCCCCTCCCCCTCCCTTAATCTCACGTGAGATTTTTTTAAATGCATGGTTTTAATGGAAATAAGTTAATCTGTGATTGATTCCATTAGATTTATTTAAAAAAAATAATTGTTATAATTGTTTACTTAATTTAACCCAGTTTTCTCGCAATTTTATACCGTTTTATTCGAAAAGAAAAAATAACGTGATATTTGCCGAGACCACCCTCCCCCACGTGATATTGGGTGAGGTTTGGCTCGACCCCCTCCCCCCCTAAACACCTCACGTAATTAATGGATGGATGGCCCCTTAGGTGTTTTTGCTCGGACATCCTAGGCATGCGCATTTTAATATTTTTCATGCGCCAAATTTTAAAAAGCGCATGCCTAGGATGTCCGGAATTAGTTCAGGATTAGCTCCGCGAAAATAGCTATTATGGCAATTTTGATTGATGTTACAATCAACGCTTGTAAAATTGTAGCACCCTAAATGTAATTTAAACTTTTAAAATTGTAAAGAACCTACGATTTAGGCTTTATGTTGTGCACATTTTGTAAGGTGGCGCTCGACCTTGTTAAAACAAGGTCGAGCGCCACCTCGCAAAATGTGCACAACTGTTTAAAAACAGTTATAGGACAATTTTCTATCAATATATAACCTTTATGATCTGTGGCTGCAGTCTCTGCTCAGCTGTTTACAATCTTCGTTTTTGTTGGAAATTTTGAACGAGTGGAAATAGTGCCCTTGTCCTGAAATCTTTTATTTTTTATAATTATTTTTCCATTATAGACGATAACGGAGAAATAATAATTATGGAGGAGACTACTCCAGATAGTGACAATATACTAAACTGTGAAAGTGAAGACGAAAGAAGTGTTATAACCCATCAAAGATGTTGCCATAATTCCACAAAGTCTTTGTTAACAGAAGACCGCATGAGACGTAAATTACAGTTTTTCTTTATGAACCCAATTGAAAAATTTCAAGCAAAGAAAAGGTTTCCATATAAGTTTGTCGTACAAGTAATTAAGATTATTCTTGTGACAATGCAATTGTGCTTGTTTGCATCGAGTAGGTATAATCATGTGAACTACACTTGGGATAACAGGATAACGTTTTCACACTTGTTTCTGATGGGGTGGGATGCTACAAGAGAGGTAAACGCTTATCCACCTGGTATTGGTCCTTTGGCTCTGTATAAAGAAGATGACTTTTTTAATGCTATAGATTATGCTTATGATGGTTATGCCAACTTAAGTAATGCTTTGGGATCTTATTCCTATGCTAATGAAGACAATACAATGACTGACATGACCTTATGTTTGTACCACTACAAGAAAGGAGTAATTTTTGGATTTAACGAGAGTTATGTGTTTGATGGAGAAATAGTTCAGAAGTGTTTGAATATATCTTATGATCATACAGTGCATGGTGTGCTAAAATCTAAGAAATACATGGTGGAGAATAATTTAAATGTGAACTTTTCGGCGTTTGTGAGAGCTGAGCTAGGGTTCTCTGTGAAAACAGTAAACTTTAAGGCAGCTGGTCGGATTTCACCACCAAATTGTTATCGGTTTGATGTGACAATTTATTTTAATAATGAAGATCATGATGGACAAATGTTATTGTCTCTGGATGCAGAGCCATCACGATTAATGTGCAAAGGAGATGTTACATATGTGACTGACAATGAAATTGACTCATTTTTGAGAAGTTTGCTTAATTATTTGGTGATTACTATTTGCGTTTTGTCATTAATTTTGTGTAGTAGAGCCGTGTGGAGAGCCCAGCAATTAAAAAATATCACCAACACATTCTTTGAGTCCCATTTTAGCAAACCCTTGACTTATGATGATAGGATGAAGTTCTTGAATCTGTGGTACATCATGATAATTATAAATGATATTCTTATTATTATTGGGTCTTCAATTAAGGAGCAAATAGAGAAAAAAGATTTCACAAGTGACCAGTGGAATGTCTGCAGTTTATTCCTGGGAACGGGTAACATGCTTGTGTGGTTTGGTGTACTCAGATACCTGGGCTTTTTTAAGACATACAATGTTGTTATTTTGACGCTACAAAAGGCTGCACCGCAAGTGGCCAGGTTTCTACTATGCGCTCTTTTAATTTACGCCGGGTTCACCTTTTGCGGATGGTTGATTTTGGGACCATACCATCTTAAGTTCAGATCTCTTTCCACCACTTCAGAATGTTTGTTCTCCTTAATTAATGGGGATGATATGTTTGCTACGTTTTCCATGATGTCTAACAAATCTTACATGCTCTGGTGGTTCAGCAAAATTTATCTCTACACGTTTATAAGCCTGTACATTTACATAATATTAAGTTTGTTTATTTCTGTTATCATGGACGCTTATGACACAATTAAATCCTATTACAATGATGGATTTCCTAAAAGCAACCTGCAATTGTTTATGGGGGACACTAATGTGGATGAGGTATCCAGTGGAATATTCAGAACAAACTCGAATGATAGCTTGGGGGGTTTAATAAAAGATTTGTGTTGTTGCAAAAAGTTGCAAAAATCTTATTCAACTTTATCACAATCCAGTGTGGGACCAATTTAATAAATTGTTTAGGGAAATAACTGTAGTACATTGACTTTAGTTTTGTTTTTTTAAAAAAAGGTACCTACCTGTATTTTTATTTAATGTTAATTTTTGTTAGAATTTTGTTTTATTATTGGCCAATCATTTTACAAAAAATGTATAAATAATATTTTTAGTTTATTGTCCCCAGTAACTAACATATCAATATATAATTAAGTTAAACATTGTTTTTTATGTGATAATTTTGTTAATTATAAATATTTTGTTGTTTGTTCATTTTTGATTCACTTATTTAATTAACATTTGACTGAAATTTAATCCCAAAGCTTTTAGAGAATAAAAATTAAGTTAAAATTAATTAAATGTTTTTTAAATTTATATAATCTTCAATATCCAATATTTATATGCAGCCTTAGTATTTTTACCACATGTTAAGATATCATATGTATTATCTCAGGAATGTTTTTCTTTTTTAAATCAGTGCTAACATAGGTACCTAACTAATTTGTGCTCTTATTTTGTCCTAATAAAATTTAAAAGTATAACAATTTATTATAAAAATATACCTTTTAATGTGATTTTCTAGAAAAAATTGTAAATATTGTAAATATTTTATATACAAAGTAAAAAAATTGAATTAAAGCTGTTTTTTTATTTAGGAACCGTATAAAAACTATAATTTGTTGTATTTAAAAATATATTATAAAAAATCACATAACAATAATATAGTATAAAAGTAAGTAGGTACAAAATATTGTACTAATTTTTTAAAATATGAGTAAATATTATCTTCAAATATACAAACAAAATATAATCTTAAAACTAAACACAAAATTTAACTATCTAATTCATATTGAATCTCCATAATTGTTTTACCTTTCGTTTCAGGTACTACTTTATAAATAAAAATTGCCCCCAGAGCGGACATGACACTAAAAAAATAAAATGTGCTATCCATACCAACTTGCTGGTTGATTTGAAGGAAAAACTTGGTGATAAGAAAAGCCATAAACCAATTTAAAGTGCCTGCTACGGAACTAACGACGCTTTTTATTTCCGGTACGAAAATTTCCGATGAGATCATCCATGGGATTGGACCAAGACCTAAAGAAAAAACGGCAACGAACACACATACTGCGCTCACTGGGATAAAACCGAAATGACTGAGAGTTTTTTCGTCGATATGATTTCGGTCTTTAAGGGTAAAGTATACTGCTATAGTCAAGTTTGAGATAATTAAAACTGATGAAGATAAAATAAGAAGGAACTTTCTACCTAATTTTTCTATAACAAGTGACGCTATAAAAGTGGAGAGGGCTAAAACAATTGCAACTATAATACTGGCCGTTTTAGAGTCCATTTTAACACCTGATGTTTCAAAAATCTTACTAACGTACAAAATTATGGTGTTTATACCACAAAATTGTTGGAAAAACATGAGGGCAAAGGAAATTACTATGGCAACTAAAGATGATTTTCTTTTAAGCAGTCTGCACATGGAAACTTGCGAATTGGTCGACTCTTTAACAGTTTCTTCAAGTTCCAATAATTCATACTGTACACCTGGTGTACCTCTTAGCCTTACCATGGCAGATTCAGCTGCATCATACAGACCTAATTTGATTAAGTAAACTGGAGATTCTGGTTGAAACACAAACAAAACAACAAATATAAACGGTAAACAAGCACAAGCTATAGTAAAAGCTTTGACAGTCAAAAACTTGCCCAAAACATAAGCAAAGAGAATACCTACAGTTACCATCAACTGAAAGTAACTTCCCAAACTACCTCTGAGATTTTTATGCGCGATTTCTCCAGTATATAAAGGCGCGGCGACGCAAGTACCGCCAACCGCCATTCCACAAAAAAGTCTCCCAAAATACAGCATAAGTATGTTTTTGGAGAATAATATTAAAGCCCAACCGACTGTAAAGGGCAAAACTAAAAATAAAAGTGATTTTTTTCTACCCATAAAATCGCATATTACACCCATTGGTATGCACATAATTACAGCCCCTAAGGTGGCTAACGAACCAATCCAACCCATTTGGTCGTTATCTACCTTGATGCCATTGAAATCTCCATTTTCCAGTATATCTAGAATTGGGGAGGTCCATCCAAGCACTGCCCCAGATGCAAAAGCAGATAGGGTAGCTGTAAATAAATATTTAAGTTTAACATTAAATTTTATCTTATATCTAATCAATAGTTGGGAAGTGACTTCCCTATTGAAAATGCCATTTAGAACCCATATTGAATCCGATAAGGAAACTTATCTGGTTCTATATGGTTTTATATGTCCTATATGGAACGTCCTGGTTTACATTACGGAATCTATATGGTTAAATATGGAATTCCATTTTAAATTTTTCCATATTCAACCATATAGGGAAACCTATCTGGAAATAAATGTACATATATACATTTCTTTATAAAGACATGTATATGGATTTATATGGTTTCTGTTCTATCCCTGTTAAAAATCACCCATAGAGGCCAATAGAAACCAATAAAGAATCAGACTGGAATGAATTGGTCTTTATTGGGCCTATTGGTTTCTCAACAGAATGAGCACTGGTTTCTATTGGTAATTTCCATACTGGAAATTGCCAATAGATTACAGGAAATTCCCAATTGAAATTCAATTGGTAAATACCACTTAAATGTTCAGCGCCTGCGCAGTTTAATACAAATAACCACTTGTTTCTATTGGCAATTTTCGTACTGGAAAATACCTAATGGTCTGTATTGGTTTTTGTAAGAAGTTACAGGTTCATGAAATTCCCAATTGGCATTCAATAGGTAAATACCACTTTAAGGATCAGAACCTGCGCTGTTTTATACAAATGACCACTGGTTTCTATTGGCAATTTCCGTACTGAAAAATACCAATAGATTACGAAATGGTCTAAATTGGTTTTTATCAGAAATAACAAGTAAAAGAAATTCTCAATTGAACTCCAATTGGTATATATCAGTTCAATTTTCAATCAGTGAAATTGTGGAAATTGCCAGGCCCGGCTCCAGACATTTTGGTACCCTGTGCAAAAATATTTTTGCCGCCCCTCATAGTTACCTACTTTTAGGTGCCCATTAATTAGGTATAATTTCTAAAAAAAACTACCTAAATAATATCGTTCCCTTGATGCTACAATTAGATATCTGGAAAAACACATTTATAAATAAAATATTCTAAAATTGGTATGTATTTATTTAGTAGAACTGGATTCGTAAAATTTCGAGTTATCCAGTTGTAGCAGAGCCAATCCATATGAAAACGCCAAAACTCGTTGCTCGACCATCTTGAATTTTGCTCAAATTTTATAGAAATAATCATTAGGGTTCCAAAGGACAAAATCCACCCTTATTTAATTTTTCGCATGTGTCAAATCCGGCCTATTCGAATTAAAACTTTTTAAAAACATCATTGTTATGCTTAAATAATTTAAGCAGTAATTTTTTTTTCTATTAAAGATATTTTAAATTATAAATAAAACTAACAATATCGCTACTAAACGGCCATTAAAAAAATTAATATATCTTTTAAAGGAATAAAAATAACAAAACAAGTCTAACTGGACTGAAAAGATGAAGGTGGGGACTACATTTCCTGAAAGTTTCAGATTTTTATTTTTTCCTCAACATAATGATTTCTGAGGGCAAAATTGGCTAATTTTGAGAATTATCAATTTTCAATAATTTTTTTAATAAAGAAATTGATAGTCTAGAAACTTAAAATAATAGTTACGTTTTCTATTGTATAAGTACTTTATACCTGAAAAAATTGAACCTTCTAAATTCAGTAGAATAGGCACAGGGAGCCAGACAAAAATCACAAAAATTGGCAAATTATCATGAATCTTTAGTGGTTTACCATTCTTTTATGAAATTAACTAATTGGATAAAAATAATTTATATCGAAAACACACTTACTGGACAGTATAACAAAATTAAAATTATTTCAATATTTGTCACAGAAAAAAAGTTCTGGCACACTATAAGAGAGTAAGAAATTGACACTATTTCAGACTTCTAAGGGGTGCCAAATAAAAGTAAAGCAACAAAAAAATAAAACGGCAACGGATTTTTATATTTGACACCTAAAAGATCATCCTCAAATTTTTTCATCAAAATAAAAAATCACGCAGCGCACCCCATTTGGTGTTTTTATTTGGAATGACTCTTCTGCTAAAAGTAAGTAGTGGGGCCCACTGCTTACTTTTCGCAGAGTGGGCCACAGGACGACCTGTGCCCCTTTAAAAATTCCAAGCGTTTCCATGGCCAGTAATTTTTCCTAAGTAAGGAATCCTTACTTAGCAGCTCAAGGCATTCCACCTTTATAGGCCTATGTATTTTGCTACAGAGGCGAGAGGTATTCATGGGTTGCCTACCTATTGGCGAATTTTGAAAATAAATATTAAAGTGCATGCATATACCATGGTATATACCATGGTATATACCAATAGGGTTCCTTGTATCTACACACCGATAAAATACCAATTCAGACCATTAGTTTATCTATTGGTATTTTCCAGTAAGAAAATTGCCAATAGAAACAAGTGGTCATTTGCAGGGCCGGCGGAAGACCATGGTAGTATTATACTACCATGGTCTTCCGCCGGCCCTGCAAATGACCACTTGTTTCTATAATAGGTACTACTACCCACTGGAAAAATTCCTGAGTAGGTATATACCCACTCGGAAAATAAATGTTACATGAACATTGTTCCGGAATTTATGCGATTTCTACAATTAATAATTACAATTCCAGGATCTTCGTGTTCTAACGAAAGAAGTTTTTCAGTTTTGCGTCATTTAAAAAATTATTTAAGATCAACAATGGCACAAAATCGACTAAATCACGTAGCAATCTTGCATTATTTCTCTGATTTAGCAGATAAACTCAATATGGATACTCTAATAAATGAGTTTATTGTTCGCAATAAAAAAGAACGGCTGTTTTTGCTATTTTAGATAAAAATTGTTAATCTACAAAAATGCATTGTTATTTATGACTTTCTATTGTTACATTTTAAAGCTCCTTATTTTTCAATATATTTTTATAATATTGATTTTTCAAAATTTTAAATGCTCGAAATTAAAGCTGAGTTGGGGACCCTCTTTCTCCGCCTAACTACCCACTCGGGCTAAATGTTTTCTGCCGGCCCTGGTCATTTGTATAAAATTGCGCAGGCGCTGAACATTTAAGTGGTATTTACCAATTGAATTTCAATTGGGAATTTCCTGTACTTGTAACTTCTTATAAAAACCAATTCAGACCATTAGGTAATCTATTGGCATTTTCCAGTACGGAAATTACCAATAGAAACCAATGCTCATTCTGTTGAGAAACCAATAGGCCCAATAAAGACCAATTCATTCCATTCTGATTTTTTATTGGTTTCTATTGGTCTCTATGGGTGATTTTTAACAGGGCTACTAGCCAGATAACGAATATTTTTACCAAAACTTGCGCAGTTGTGTAATTTGTGCAATTTAGAGGGCAGGTTTTGTCAATTTTCCCTATTAAGTTCCTCCTTGTGTAGGCTTCATACTTTCAGTTATCACTTAGTGATAGACTATAGTATTGTCATTTTGACACCTAAAGCAAAAATTGACAACCAAATTATGACGTTCAAAATTCCATGTCCGCCACTGTACCTATCATTATGTTTATAAATTATTTATGGTTTTCTTATCTTTGTTTGGCATTTAGTAAATTTATTATGCATGACAAAGTGCACAGGTTTTGAAAAACAACCAGGAATTTAAATTATTTAAGAAATTAACTGTCATATGTATTAATATGGTGCACAAGTGCACAGATTTTGAAAAATGATCCAAAAGTTAAATTATTTAACTAAATCCCAAGAGTATGTTGACCATAGATGACCAAAGGTTTGATGTTGACACTACATTAAAAAAAGTGGAGTAGGAACTATTTAAATTTTACAAACATGCTTGTGAAAAATACATTCTACTTAGTAGAATGTATTTTTCAGTAGAATCTACTAAACTAAAATATTTTACCTGATATGGCTGCAAAATATTGAAATCTTGCTTTATAATTTTCCGGATTCTGATTATTTTCCAAATTATCCTCCAAAGCTTGAAGCTAATAAAAAATACTTATAAATATATTTTACAAATAATAAAAACTTACGTCGCCTCTATTATCCATTGTTCTTCGATCTAAGAGTGCGTCAGTTTCCATTACGAATTCCACTATAAATTCATTTGCGTTGCGCCTTGTTCAATGAATTTATTTTTAATTTACTGATTATTATGTTTTAGGTTAGAACGACAACAAAAACAGTTAAACACTGATGTATTCTGGGTTGCCTACGTTCAGAATTTTTTTTAAGCATCTACAGTGTAGATTCTACACAGCGTTTGTATTATTTGTTATACGCTAGTAAACTGTAGGTATTAATTAGGATTAATAATAATATGCACTTACATATGAACTATTAATTTTAAATTATTGTGAATAATAGTAGGTACTATGCTCCACACTTCAAAGTCCCACCACGTGACCACGTACGGAACGCAGTCTTTTGATAATTTGGCATTTAAGGCTTTTCAGGTTATGTATCTGTCAAAGTATAGTCAATGCAAGAAATAATATTTATACTGTTACCATTTATGTTTAAGAGTTAAAAGTTTATAAATCTTTATAGTATCACAGTAACAATGGTTGGTTTAATGAAATTCTAAAGTGTATAGTGCCAAATAAGTAAAATTTTTGTGCATTTGGTCTACATATATCTGGTTTTATCCATTAAATAGTTTTAACTAAACGGCATTTATAAAAAAAATTAACTTGTCTATTATGGAATAAGAATATCTGTATCAAAGGTAGGTTAATATATTATAACAAAAAATATCATCTAATTTTGAAATTTTAAGGTTAGAAAAATCTATTTTGATCAAAATAAATAAGTAGGTATTTTGGATTATTTGGAAGAGTGTGTTAATATGGTCATATAAATATAGATATACTAAATAATTGTTGAATATGGTTCAAATTAAATTAAAGCTTTTATACTCCTAACAACAAAACTTGTGCATACCTATCGGGATCTCTACTTTAAGTTAGATTATAAGGAAACAAACAATTTTTACAGATACATGCAATGTAAAAATATTTAATACTCCCATAACATATGTGATTTTTGAAATTGTTAAAAGTTATAATGATTTTTCAATTAAGATAAAATTCAGTTGAAGCTATACCTACATAATTGTATTGACAAAACTTTATGTAGGTATACTTTAAGCTGGATAAGAAAGACTACTACAAGTAAAAATATTAGATAGAGTATACTGTGGTTTTATTTAAATTTTAGAATTTATAAGGTTATTTATACCTAATGATTGTTCGATGTAGATAAAATTTTGTCGAAGCTTTTATACCCTGCTTAAAATACCCCATAGAGACCTATACAAAATAATCTATCGGGCGCTACCGGATTCAATATGTGCATTTGTCCATGGTTTTTTCCGGATACAGCCCGATAGAAAATGTATAGGAAATTACCTATAGGCACACCATAACTTTTACATTTTCCCTATTGAGACTGATAGAAAATAACTCAATGAAGGATATATAGGGATATCCCTATAGAGCAACCATAAAACATTTGACAAAATTTTATTAAAACCTATGGGGTCCTATAGGGAAAAAACTAATTTCTACATTTATGTGTATTTTTCCCATTGAAACCGATAGCAAATAAATCAATGGTGGATATCCCTATAGAACAACCATAAATCTCAACTATGGGTCCTATACAAACCGATACACCCTATAGAAATACCATACATCCCGATACAAATATCTATCGGTTTGAACAGGGTCTCTATGGGGTATTTTAAGCAGGGTAGGTACTTGTATTGACACTATGGGTATATTAGCTGACAGTGTAAGGAACTTTAAGAAGGTTAGCTATTGAATTTCCAAAAACACTTGTAAAATCAATGTACAGTTACAGTACCTACCTAATGGTTTTATATTTGAGATCTCTCATGGTGCTTATTTCCAAGAGCAAGTTATTTAATTACAGCTTACATTTAGGTAGTGGATGACTAATTTGTTTTACTTGGGCATAAATATTTATTTATTTAAAGTACCTACATATAAACATCTTTGATTAATTAAATAAACAAAAAATAATATATTTTAAATAAAAATTTAAAGAATCTAAAATCGATAAAAGTTCAATTGAACTTTTTTTAAAAACTCACATATAGAAAAAAAAATAAGTTTAGAAATTTGTAAAATAATAAAAAACATTACCTATTTAAAATTATTTAATAATTTGCAAATTTTAATAATTTTAAGGTGTTGTTTTTAGATTCCTTCTTTAAAATTAACCCCTTTTAATATTTAATCAATTTTAAAAATCTTAAAATAGTTAAGTTTTACAGTTGAAAATATGTATGCCGGAGTAAAACAAAATAGACATCATAATTGAACAACTGGCTCTTGGAAATAAGCAATATTAAACATTTCAAATATAAAACCATTAGATACTTAATTTTAAAAAACTGTAAATTCTTTTTAAAAATTCAATAGCTAACCTTCTTAAAGTTCCTTACACTGTCAGCTAATATACCCATAGTGTTAATACAAGTACCTATAAAAGCTTCGACAAAATTTTATCTACATCAAACAATCATTAGGTATAAATAACCTTATAAATTCTAAAATTTAAATAAAACCACAGTATACTCTATCTAATATTTTTACTTGTAGTAGTCTTTCTTATCCAGCTTAAAGTATACCTACATAAAGTTTTGTCAATACGTATAGCTTCAACTGAATTTCATCTTCATTAAAAAATCATTATAACTTTTAAAAATTTCAAAAATCACATGTTATGGGAGTATTAAATATTTTTACATTGCATGTATCTCTAAAAATTGTTTGTTTCCTTATAATCTAACTTAAAGTAGGGATCCCGATAGGTATGCACAAGTTTTGTTGTTAGGAGTATAAAAGCTTTCATTTAATTTGAACCATATTCAACAATTATTTAGTATATCTATATTTATATGACCATATTATTAACACACTCTTCCAAATAATCCAAAATACTTATTTATTTTGATCAAAATAGATTTTTCTAACCTTAAAATTTTAAAATTAGATGATATTTTTTGTTATAATATATTAACCTACCTTTGATACAGATATTCTTATTCCATAATAGAGAAGCTAGATTTTTTTAATAAATGCCGTTTAGTTAAAACTATTTTATGGATAAAACCAGATAATATTAACATGTTATGTAGACCAAATGCACAAAAATTTTACTTATTTGGCACTATACACTTTAGAATTTCATTAAATGCAGTATTTATACTCCTAAACTCTTAAACCAACCATTGTTACTGTGATATCACAGTATATACTATAAAGATTTATAAACTTTTAACGCTTAAACATAAACGGTAACAGTATAAATATTATTTCTTTCATTGACTATACTTTGACAGATACATAACCTGAAAAGCCTTAAATGACAAATTTTCAAAAGACTGCGTTCCGTACCTGGTCACGTGGTGGGACTTTGAAGTGTGGAGCATAGTACCTATATTATGTATCAAGTTTTATGCGAGCGAAGCTTGCTAGCGAGTGTTTAATAGTGTATAGAGAAGTTTATAAAACGAGTTGCAAACTATACTTTATCCACGACAAACAGAAATAAAAATTTAAAGCCAATTTTATTTCATAAATATTTGAAATTTGACGAATTTAACCTCACTTTTTCGCAATTTATAATAAACTTCAGCCCGTGACTAAAATGCAATAATTATTGTTACATAAAATAAAAATGTTTGCTTATAATTCATTTTTTTTCCTTCCACCTTTAAACCGACCATTATCGTACATGTTTCCATGACACCACAGAACATGACACTAAGTGACCTTTTAAATACACATTGACAAGTTGTGGCTTTACGGCGTTTTAGTCACGGGCTTCCCTATTGTTTCATAGATGGCGCTCTTTAAAAATATTTGATTTAAATAATTTTAAGATAATAATAAGTATTTGTCGTAAAAAAAGTATAGTATGCACCTCGTTTATAAACTTTTCTATATATATGTATATATACACACATTAATTTAAGAACTCGCTCGCAAGCTCGCTCGTGCCTAAATTATTCACAATAATTCGTGTATAAAATGGCGTTTATCAAACTTGATACATATATGTAATTATAATTATACATACATAAATACTTTTATATACTCCTACATTGACGAGCTGTAACTTTATGGCGTTTTATTGAAGGGCTGAAGTTAACAACAGTGGCTTTTCGACATTTTACGTCACGGGCTGAAGTTAGCTTTATTATAAATTGGGAAAAAGTGAGGTTAAATTCGGGTGACAGTTGACAGATGTCAAAATTTTAACAAATAAAATTGGCTTTAAATTCTGTTTTGTGTTTGTCGTAGATAAAGTATAGTATGCAACTCGTTTATAAACTTCTCTAGACACTCGTTTTTATTAAAAACTCGCTCGCAAGCTTCGCTCGTGCTTAATTAAACTCGTAACTAAAATGGCGTTTATAAAACTTGATACATAATATACTTTAAAGTCACAGCTCGTCAATTCAGGAGTAGATAATAATAGCAAAATCACATTCCCTGCACATGTCAGGAATATTCCCAGGAATATTCCAAGCGTCCCAGAATATTCCCAGGAATATTCCTGGCATAATCAAATGTCCGCTTTTTGAATAACCCAGGCATCATAAAAAGAATATTCCATGTATCTGCCTGCAGAAGACTCAAGGATTATTCGGGGAATATTCCTTAATATAATTTGGGGATTATTCCCAGCCCTTATCCCAGGAACGTTTTGGGAATGTTCCTTACGCCGGTTTAAGCAATTTTTACAGGAATTATGCTCCACCACGTGACTTAATTTTTTGTCAGAACCTAATTTCGTCTTATTTTCTAAAAATAATACAATATATGTATTTTTTGTGTTCTAAATTAAGACCTTTATACACAAAAAGTTCATATATTGTATTGCATTTAGGAAATAGGATAAAATAAGCTTGACACTGACAGAAAATTAACCTTAATTATTTTTATCAGTCACGTGGTGGAGCATAGTTCCTGTAAAAATTCCTTATACAATTATCAGTCACATGGTGGGACTTTGATTTGTGGAGTATAGTATTAATAATAACAGAGCTGCAAAATTGTGACAAAACCATTTTATTTAAAAAAACAATATTCTTTCAAAAATATTTTTTATAAAAGACATATTAATAAATAAATAATTTAC